AGAAGTAATACTTTATTAGTTATAGAGATGTACTTAATTAGAGATATCTAAATATATAATTTAAGTTATTCTTTATAAATAGAATAAGTTTATAATAACCTAAAAATAAGCCTATTTAATCCTCTACTTTCTAAAATACTAGTTTTCTTTTTATTATATTAATTAGAGATTTGAATAACTATAATTACAGTATAGTGAAATACTTAAACTATTATATAATTATATTAGTTAAAGCACTATTAATATATTAAAAATTAATTAATTTACTTCTTTAGACTTTATAAATAAGTTTCTCTTAATAAAAAACTATATTTAATTCTTTCTAAGAAACTAGAAATCTCTATAGATCTATAGGATATATTTAGTAAAATCCTTAAGTTACTAATAAATTAGAAGAAAACTTAAAGTAGCTTAGACCAAACTTATTTAGCTAGATAATTTTCTTAAGTTTAGAGAAAGTTTTTATAGATTAGAAAACGCTATATCTTACGTTTATACCCCTTTTATTTAATATTATAGTATTAATTATAATATACTATACTTAAATACAGCTTTTTTAATAGATTAACTATTTATAAATACTTTAAAAGTATTAGTAATACTATTTTTAGTATATAATAGTATTAAAGACTTATTATATATTATGTAAAGTATGGTGAAAATTAAATAAAGATTAATAAAAATGTTAAAGATTAAAGTTAAGCAGTATTTATAGCAGTGAGCGATTTTTGGGGTGCTGAGAAGTGGGGGGTGCCGAGAAGTGGGTGTGGGACGTTACCCACAGTCTGCAAGCGGCATTAAATGTAGATCGCGCGCGGGGACCTTTCAATTATCGGCTACTACATCAAATGGATCAGTTTAAAGACGGTGCATGTTCTGATTACCTCTTATTGGAAGATGAACATGGCTTGCTGATTCTCTGCTCCGCACCCCCTCAGGGTCTCGATTGCCGACTGTTGCCGTCGATCTCCGAACTGACCAAAGCGCCAAACGCACGTGAAGTCTAGCTTGCGAACGCCGCGTGCAATTTTGCTTTCACATTGGATGTCGCTTCCCCAATGGCACAGAAACTGACACAGGTACCGACCAGCCACACCATCAGCACATCCATCCGACTACGACAGACACCTCCGGCCCCACAGCGGAGACCGAAATAACGGAGGTGGGGTGCGATATACCGGAGCACTGCCGATCGGCCTGACGAACCGATGTTTTATCATATTTCCCTACTCATTGTAAACCTGGAACACATCTGGCACTGGTAGAATTAGAAACAGTTTATTTTTGCTATAAGAAGTGAGACCTCTCGTTACCTTGTGGCTTGTCTTCACGATCAGCTTTTTCATCAAGCCCTTGCGTCGCGAAGTGTCCGCAGGGGCTCTCGCCTGTGGGCCCGCCATCCGGGACACTAGCAAGCCACAACAAGGTCTTTCTGGAACAGCCGCTTCGCAGCGGTACGCCTCTTCTGATTAGTGGACATTCAATCACTTTCAGTCCCTTGCTTCCAAAACCTATAGAAACTGTTAGCTTCTACACTTCTTCTACGGCGGCAATATCAAAGACGACTCGCTATTGACATGGATGACAGAAGTCACTTTACCACGCGAGTCCCACTGAGATAGATGTTTAACTGTAGTCAAAGCGACGCTCATGTCGCAACTCCAAATGAAACTAGGAAAGGCCCTTTAGAACCAAAAGCCCATCCGCTATACGGCAGACAAAAGGCTGAAGCTTGGCTAGAAGGGGAGCATGTAAGGGTCGAAAGAAGGGTTCAAAAAGAAGCTTGACATGCGAGCAGCGTGGTGTGACCGAAATAAAATGAAATTCTAAGGGAGAGAAAAACATAGTCCTATCAACTACGATATAAAAGGTGGTGCGGACCCAGACGCTGCGGGCAATCTTTTCTCTACTTTCACCCGCCACACATGGCAATGCCCAATTTTCGAAATCCCGGTGCCTGTAAGCAGCAAGTAGGATCTCGTACTTCGTGGCTGTGTCACAAACTAATGCTGATAGTTGAACCTCAACTGACATCCCGGCAACAATGAACACGCTCCATCATATCACGGATTGGAAGATAGTATCAGGTCCCGGCGACTTTCATTCCCACTGCAAGCTGGGAAGCCCTTGCGAAATCGGCCAAGATGGAACATGCCCAATGATGCTGCTTCTTGCGACTTATCGGCGTATCGGGCTTTGGGATGCATGTGACCCCAAGCATCGAGCATGCAAACCAGGAAATCCATGCACGCAGAGAGAGGACAAGTTTTGTTCACGGATTGTCTTTTTGGTCAAGTTGCAACATATGTACGGCACTTGCGGGGCCGGGAATATAGGTCATGCGTGCTGCCCATCCATTTCCGACGAAGAACGATGCTCGCTGTTCCCGACTTGTCCTTCCTGCGGAGTACTCACTGAAATCAGAGCTCTTGTTCTGATTCACCGAAGGATTTTGGATGAATACGCCCCAGAAGAGCGATTCAGTCGTCCTGATATCCGACACCTGGAGAACGGTCTGGCGGGGTATTTGCGAGCTTACGAAGTCAGAAGAGGTATGCACATCGACGAGCTTCGAAATCAGACCGAGGATGCCTATCGGATTGAGATGCAATATGCCAGAGTGGATGGTTATAATTCGACAGTAGGACAGCATCCGAGCGGCAAGCAGACATGGTGGCAAGCTGTGTGGCTGAGGGTAACCGCCATGATGGCGGACAGATTTGGCTCCAAGTATGAACACAGCTGTGCATGACGTTATTGGACACGACTATGGACATTTTGTACAAATCCAAACCATGATTGTTACTTTTAAAGACGAGCGTCCAAGAACAATGAGCTCCTATGTACCTTAGGGAGAGGCCAAACCTGCAGAGTGGCTCTACCCGCTTCCATTACGTTCCTGATGATCATGCATTTGAATTTTGCTCAGTCTATGTCATTGTTCATCAGCCACAGCGGCCAAATCTCTTCAGCGCTGCTGCTCGATCTCCGTGGGATTATCTTGTTTTTGGTCGAGCTCCGCATCATTCTTGATGTTCCCGGCGTGTATGAAAGACCTAAATTTCCTACTCATCTCAGTTGAAGGAATACAAGTATATCCAACGTCGCCAAGACGGGTATTTTGTGTGACGCTCATGACCGGACCCAAGGCGTAACACCGGAATCTGATTGATAAACTCATCAGCACAGGTTGTTTGTATGAACCGCCAAGGCAAATATTGAACATGGCCAAAATATGAATGCAACCTCCTTGGCAATATAGCTGCCGCGATTATTCTTGGCATTCATGGATTGTTGGGTGCTTCAGTGGGGGAGGCTCTTGGCACCACCTTTCGATGGCTCGGCGCAGGCGGAACTGCTCCCGGGATTTCAACCAATGCACTGCAGTGGGTGCTTGCGCGCTTGCTGTTTTCCCCTTAACAAAACGAGATCGATAGTGGTTTCGAACTCGTGAGATTGCACCTTGCTACTTCAGCGGCACCTATCGAATCTTCTAAAAGCAGGTGGGCATCCGTCAATGGTTTCTCAGCCAGTCCCAAATGATACGGATCCCATTTAGAACCGCGCAAGAGATAGGGTCTCGTCAAGGTGACTATGCTGCAGGAAACACTATACTGTATCGATTATCGAACGTTTTCCTTTGCTTGCACTTGTCAAGCGGGTGTGGATACGAGCCACCTGTTTCTTGTCTTCCAATGTACATGGATCTCCATTGTCCATGTGAAGTACCTAGTCCAGCGGCATGGAATTATAAGACGTCAAACACGGGACGCGATACGATCGAACTATCAGATGACTGCGTTGCAATTCATTACTTTTCCACGTTGTGCCAAGACACTGATACTTAATCCGGGACTTGGTGTTCGTCAATACCGCGTAACCCATACTGCTGGCAGCCACCTTAGACAGTCTGACAAGTACAGACGGTGTACTACAGAAAGTCCTTTCCGCTGAGGCGACTCGAAGTCACTTCTAATTGCATGAGAGGCGAGATCAACGCGGAACCGCATTCAAGTGGACTTTCTTGCGAGTCACCCGCGCGAACGTGAGGTAGATCAAAATCAGAACGGTCCTTCCTGACTTGTCCTTCCTGACTTATGTCAGTATCTCCGACACTCGGGAAGTGCGCTACAGCATAGATTATTTTGGTGCCTTGCTGTATCTAGAATCGCAGAAAACAATTAAACTAATGTTTGTCGAGGCGAGCTGCAGCAGTGTCTCGCCCCCGGCCGGACAACTCAGAAGTTTTCTTCGTCTAAAGTCTTGGTGTTTCCAACAAGAGAATGTTGTTCCTTGGAACGGCAGCGTACCTCATGATTCTCTGCACAGCGGACTTCTAACAGCGGCCTCCTGCCTAAATATGAAGCTCTAGTTCGTCTAGGCACCGTGCCAAGAGTGGCAGTGCCGAGCCCCTTGGCGCGGACAGGGCAATGATCGGCCCCATTGTTGGCACCGGGACTCAGGCAATCGACGCCATTAAAGGTTGTTGGTGATCTTATCTGTTTTGTCCGTGCGCGGTTAGAAAGACTCGGCACGTTTCAACGCTTCAAAATTCCACGTGTGAGGTCCAAATTGAGATGAACGTTGTTTCCCAGATTGATTGCTTGTGCAGCGTGAGGCTTACCCCAATGGATGACTTGCCGCCCCTCCCCACTGACACGTCAAAACCCATGGCTCCAATCGGTGGATACCACTGAGAATGCGACTGTGGAGGACACTGCGAAGTTCCCCTCGGTGGCCAAGACCTCCTTAATTCATTCTTGACTTGATGTCTCGAAAATCGACGCGGAGTCTGAACAAGTTCCCGCCAGTCGGTGACATCCTTGAAGATGGCAGACGAACTGGCATGCTGCGGGTATAAAGTGCCAGTCGGCCACTGTCGTTGATTTGAAGCCCAGTCTTATCAGCACAAGCTTTCATTGCTATATCTTCACTCTTTTCATTTCCATAGCACCTCACTGACCCCTTTCGCCGTTCTTTGGAGACTTACATCATTCATCATGCGTACCGACGCCTTCAAGTTGCTCGCGGCTCTTGCCGTTTCTTTCCCCGTTGTCTCCGCCTGCGTTGGTAAGGATGCTCTGCCTACCGCTACCGAGACCATCAGCAGCGATGCTCCCATCGAAGTTGCCGCTGGCGAGAGCTACGACGGCAAGTTGGCCCGCTTTGATAGAGGGTCCGGTGCCTGCAAGGACCAGACTGAGGGCGGCCAGAAGGACGCCGTCTTCATCCTGCGTAAGGGCGCGACTCTCAAGAACGCCATCATTGGCAAGGACCAAATGGAGGGAGTCTACTGTTTGGGTGGCGGCTGCACAATTGAGAATGTCTGGTTTGAGGACGTGTGCGAGGATGCTATTTCAATGTAAGTTTCAATCATGAGCTATTCCATGTGGAGAGACATAGCGCTGACGATGGTTCCCCGTACAGCAAGGAGGATGAGGCTGGCACCGAGACCAAAATCATCGGTGGAGGTGCCTACAAGGCCGGTGACAAGGTAGTCCAGCACAACGGCTGCGGGCACGTCAGCGTAAGTTTGATTCTCTGAAGGACAATGCAACAAACATCGGTTGACAACCAGAAAGATCTCCAACTTCTACGCGGAAGACTACGGCAAGGTCTACAGAGCTTGCGGCACTGTAAGTGAATCAGGAACTTTGCGAAGACAGCCTGATGTATCTAACAGCATAACAGTGTGATGCCTGCAAGCGCACCGTCAGCATTGAGGGTGTCTCTGCTTACGGAGGTGGCGAGGTTGCTGGCATCAACGAGGACACTGGCGATGAGGCGACGCTCGTCAACATTTGCACCGACGCCAAGACCCCTTGCCAGCTCTACTCTGGTCCCGGCACCAAATCGGGCGAGTGCTAGGTTTCTCGAAATGAGGAGGCAACTCGACCCCTATGATGGATAAGAACTTCCTCGACCTTGATGGTTCTAGGAATTGACTTCCTGTGGAAGAGTCATGCGTCTCATGGGGGCCTAAGTGGTGGTTTCGTGTATATACTTCTTCAAAACATATGTTATAAGCTTAGTTATTAGCTTTACGAAAATGTCCCCGTGTCAGGGGTCTTGGTTTACCGAAAGAATGCGGAGAGCCCAACGCGAGGAATTTCATTCCCAGCTCCATGCCCCGGCTGTACAAGTCGCGGATGCATGTCTCATACCGATCTTCGCTACAGATAAATATGCTTATCAACCTGTGCATTGAGCTGAAAGAATATCTCAAGCCAACGTCGGCTCGATCTTCGCGTGCGACCAGGAAAAGAGATAAAGCGTACCTAAACACTAGGGATCCACACCAGTGACTATGTGCCTGGGCGGAAGGGTTTTGGAAAGCTGAGTGTTTTCGAAATCATGACCTCCTTGTCCAAATTCTTGCTCAAGCCAAAACGACCCGGTCGTAACAAGCTTGATTTTTTGCCCGCCATCAATCACCATGAACTCAAAAACTTTTCCCTAGGATCACTAAGTCTCCGTTGCATATTCTCTGACGGTTCTCAAGACTAGGCCCCCCAAAAGTGTTCGAAACGAGCCATGCTGAATTTGTACCCGACCTTATTGAGGAGGGTACTTGCTGTTGTTCTAAATGTATCGCAATGAACCACAGTTTTCTGGCACTCTGATTCGTAATATTCGTAATTAGCTGTCCAATAAAGATGTCGTGTATTCATGAAAAAGCAAACGATCATTATGTCCATTACATACGCCTAACCCCAAACAGGACCTGGTATCATATCTATAACCGAGTCTAGAAAAGCAAGACTCCCAGAGTAAATGCCAAACTCCACGCAATGCATCCATAAACTGCTTTCCCATGCATCAGACTCGTGGCAGCACTGTCGTCGCCGTCGTCTGAAGAGTTGCTGGGGTCTCCAGCCGGGCCTGGTGTAGACGTTGTCGCAGTACCAACACCTGGAGACGCCGATGTGAGAGCATCACATGCCGTGGGGTCAGGTTCAGAAGTGCCCACCCTAGCGCCAATGTTTACGACGACTGCCTCGGCATCCCGCAAAGGAATGCTTGCCTTGCCATCGTTTGCGACCTTCACAGTAATGTCCTCGTTGGAAACCTGTGACTGCGTGCCTGCATTGTCCTGCTCGAAGCTGATGCCATTCCATGTTGTGCCATGGGTAGCGTCTGATCCATCGGCAGTCAAGTAGCCCAAGTGCAGTGTTTCGCCCGCAAGGGAGGTCGGGAAAGTCAAGTCGACCGTAATGCTAGACTTGGATGAGTCAGACACGTTGGCAATTTTGCCATTGAGCAAAACGACAGAAGAAAGGGAGTCGCTCTGATAGACCGAATAAGTCTTGAGGTAGTCCGCATAGCCAGAGGGAGCGTTCGAGATCGACTCTTCGGCGATGCGGGCGGTACATGATCGGCCAAGAGTCTGGCCGAACGCCGCGAAGGCATAGTAGAGAGGGCGAACGAAACGGTCCCGGCCGAACATGCGTGTTGGCTGCCAAGCGCTGGCGTTGCTGTCAAAGGTCATATGGAATTGAACAGAGGTGATGTTGAGTGTTGCGGCGTAAAGAAGGAAGTTGAAGGTCCATAGGGCGGCAGCGAAAGTGTCGCTCAATCCCTCCACGCCGAGAGGCCCGACGACAGACATTTCTCTCAACGCGAAAGGGTAAGGCGTCTCCTTTGCTTGGTCTAGCTGACCCTCGATCGTGCTGAACTGCTCTTTGGTGTTGTCGAAGTGCATCATGTAATCCAGGGTCAAGGGGTATGGGAACGACCCTACGAAGTAGTAGTAGTTATGCTGGTTCCAGCTGGTGATGAATCCCTTGTCTGAGTTGTTGGCCTTGACATCAAGGTAGCTCTCCAAGTCCTTGATCTCGAATCCGGTACCAGTGACCCAAGCGGTGGAGGCGGAAGACTCAAAGAAGTTACTTTGCAGGTTCTTAGGTTGCAAGACCTCCTCCCAAACGGCGCGTGCTCGATCAAGCCACTCCTCTGCATATACCGAGCCGGACCAAGATCCCTTTCTGAACCCGTTATAGTTGTAGAGGTCTGGCTCGTTTCCGAATTCGAATGAGACGAGGTTGAGATTGGTGCATCGGTCGATGATTTGCGTCGCCATGGTCGTCAGCCTCTCGATGTAGTCCGACTCGGCGTATCCCAAGTTCAAGCCCCATGTAACGGGAGTTCCCTTTGGCAAACGGTTGGCAATCTCCATAAACTTTGGACCGACAATGAAATTGTCCGCCGGGACATCACCCGGCGCGGTCGGCTTCGGGTTGGGCTTAATGAGCCAGTCGTCTTGCGAATCGTCGTAAATCAGATAATCCTGCGTGTTTCCACCCAATCGCATGTGCGCCGGTCTGCCGGTGAAGTTGGCAAGGTTGTTTAGAAGGTTTATCGTCAGGTCGTTGGGAGTTTCATCTCCCATGAAGTAGTAGAGATGGTCAAGTTCGATACCGAAGCCGGCAAACGACGGGTCGACGGTCGCAGAAATATCGGAGGGAACATCTTCGGACAGCGATAAGGACAGGACTGAGTCGGCGGCGAATGCTGCAGAGATGAGGCCGAAGCCAGCTAGGAGGCGACTCTGCAACGGCGCCATTTCAAAAGCAACCGGGCAAATAATTAAGATAATTTGTTAGTAGTGTTTGGCTAGAACCATCGTGAGAAATGCAGCGGGGGCGGTCAGCCGCCTTAAAAGACGTTGGGACACAAAGATCGGTCACCGAAACGGGCGGTTTCATCGCCCACCACAGATTTCATCATCCTTGTGGACCAGGTCGAACCAACCGAGCCGGAGCTTTTGCGCCTGTGTCAGTTGAAATCCATGTTCACCTCCCGTTTGATGGTACCAAGGCTGGGCAGCAGCTCCAGTCTGACGCGTACTACGCGGCCGGGCGGTGACTCTGTGTGTCTGTGTTCTCCTCTCTGCAGTCAATAGCTCGAAATCGTTGGCGATGAGAAAGGGCCGAGATGCACAACCCGGTTTTTTTGGGAGATTTCCACGCTTCCACCAGACCCGGCTGGCGAACAATTGGAGAGCCTAGACCGTCCGCCGTGAGAATGCCATGCCTGTTTAGGCGCTGCGATGCCGTTGTGCCGTGATTGCGACAGACGGTTGGTGGGTTAATGACATCAGGGAGGGAAGCACTCCCTGTTGGTTCTGCGGGCCAAAACGTTGGCGGTTTGTCTCGCCCCGCAAAACGTGCGTGGATGGCAGGGAATCCCATGGCCATCGGTGATGTCAACAAGACGTTTAGCGATTGTGGCAGGGATAGCAGCCCCTGTATTCCCTCCATCCCATCGCTTGCAGATGAAGAGACGTGACAACCTGGCAAATTTGGTGCATCGGAAGTTGGGGTGACATGAGCAGGTCGGGAGGACGGGAGCTACTTCGTCTGACATGAGTTTGATAGAGTTATGGCTGCTCCCAGAGGCCTGGCACCTCTCCGTCGCTTGCCTTCACGAATTGTCCGAATCGTCAAACAGAGTTCTGTCCTGCAGGAACAGCGGAACGGCTTTGTCGATTACTGTCGATCATCTGCCATCGACACAAAATTAGAAACGCCGGCCCACAGGATACTGAGGCAGTACAGTTGATTTTGCTGTTTGAAAGGATGAGAATTGAGGAGACGCTCGCCACACGTTTCGGCGCGGAAGCAAAACGAACAACGGAATACCGGGACCGCGAATATGTGGATAAGCGATAGGGGATGATAAGGATCACCGGTCGCAGCCTCAAGAAAGCACCACTGAAGGATGAGGGCGTTGGATGTCTTTGACGCGGCTGACGTCAACTGAAGTAACAGAGCGCGCCGCGCTGAACCAAGTGTTTGTTGTCACCAGGCTGTCCTGGGTTTGCAGCTTGAAACGTGCCCGCCTGGTTGAGCCGCCATGAACGACAAGATCGGGATCCCGCTTTTTGCGACCGAAGTTTGCTGGTCATGGGATCCAGCCGGCATCTCGGCTCCACACACCAGGACGCACAGAATTTCTTGCCGCTGACGTGCCGTCATTATGAGCATCAGTTGGCTCATGACCAGGCCAACGAACTGTTTGCCTGTCAAGCTCGAGAGGATTCCAACACACGCGTGGCAGTGCATTCCGACATGGCATTTCTTCCATGTTATCTTTCATTTACACGGGGCTGTCACGCTCTCAGCAAGACCTATGTCCACATTCATCCAAGCAAACACTGCAAGCACGCACCGCTGGCTCCCGGGAATACCATAGGATTTCAACAACCCCCACACTTGACTGCCGCGGTCCCATCTTCCATGTAGTGCTGTTTCCTCTCCACTTGGTGCAGAGCTTTTCAGCCACCGCTCTGCATAATCGCTCAAGCTCATTCAGTTGCCAGCTGGCGGGGCTCCAGCTGTGGTTGATATCTGTACAATCCTTGGCAGGTTTGGCGTAAAATTTTCACTGATCTGGAAGACATTCCCTGCGCGTGCGCGTCCGCCCGGGCCTTCGCCACTCCGATCCAGCGAGACAGCCCGGGTGGTTGTGCCGGGAGTCCCGGGGAGACGGGTAGATCACGATCATCACAAAGACCGGAACCTCCAATTGGTCTGACGCCCAAGCCGGGTCCATCATCGTGACATGCTTGTGGGCAATGAGGATCATTGAAATGATTTCCTGGATTACGCGAAACCTGCTTCCCGCTCTATCATTAGAAATTGATCATTGGGATGCGCAGCATCGCAACGCTGCAACGAATTGGCAAACAAGGTGGCCCAGTCCGTCGTGGAGCCGCACGGGCAATGCGTCGATAGGTGGGCTAGATTCCAAAAGTCACTTTGCATTGTTCGCATTACGCACGAATTCAATGGCAAAGAAGCATTTTGCTGCTCAACACTGCGTTCACCTAATTCTACGGAGGAAGACTCCACGGGTGTTTCTGTCAATGTGCTAGGGAGTCATTACGTTCTTCAAATTTCGAAACAGTCTACATGACGAAGAGTGCTCCCATTTAGTTTAATTTCCTCAAACTCTCAGTCTCAAATTCGTAATCCGTACCGTTCCATCGCACCGTCATTCACTCAATTCCAAAGTTTAACAGTACTCGCAAGCGCCTGTAGGGCAGTAACCGTGGCTGCAGCTGAAGCTGCAAAGTCCCTTGTAGCTGTCGTCAAGTCCGGCGGCGGGGCATCCGTCCCGTCCATCGCCACCCGGGCTGGTTGTCTGCTCGCCGTAAGAGGCACACTCACAGACACCGTCAGGGCAGTATCCGTTGGAGCAAGCGAAGGCACAGAGGCCGCTATAGTTGTCCGACAGGCCGGACTTGACCTTGCCGGAAGTGCAGAAGGAACCGGTAGAAGTCGGGGCGGGAATGCTGGATGTCGCGGTCGCGGTCGGGGTGGTTCCAGATGGGACGCACTTCTCCTTGATGTAGGCGGCGCCATCATTTGTGTACAGCTGGAAGTAGTTGGTGTGGGCATCCTCGCCCATCGTGCGAGTACCGTCACCATAGGCACAGACGGTGTCCTCGCCGTTGCACCAAGAGCGCAGGACACTAGAAAAGTTGTTCAGGTTGGCGAGGGACGAGCTAGAGCGAGCCATTTGGCCGCTGTAGGTAGATCCGGCTTCGACGTTGTAGTTTTGGTCGGCAATGTGGGTTGGGTCACCGAAAAGGAGTGCAGCGCAGACTGGGACGGATTAGCAACCGACTTCTTGGAACGTTGTTCCAACAAACTTACCCTTGCTGCCGGGCGTGGAAGTGGCATCGAGGCCCGAATCAGCGAGAATGTCACCAACAATATTGGCACCTTCGCTGTAGCCACTCAGGACGATTTTGGAATCGGGGCACTTCGCAACGTAGGCCTTGATCTGGGCAACGCCGGAGGTTCGGCCCTCCTCAACCGCATTAGGGTAACCCGAGGGGTTTGACGCATCGAAAAGGATGTCTTCGTAGTCGCAGCTGGAAAGACCGGTGCAGGTAGCCTCATAAAGAGACTGTTGGCGTCCGGGGTAGCCCTCGTTCCAGCCACGAGCGAAGAAGAGGTGAAGATCGGTGCAGGATCCGGAGCCAGTGGATTGACGCTTTCCGGGGGCCGCGGAGGCCAACAGGATGAAATTGAACAGGGTGGTGATGGCCTTTGGTGACAACATATTGACTGATTAATATTATGAGTATTATTACCGTCTAGTTGGTTGACGTCGGAAAAAACGAGTGACTGGTCGTGGACGATGAGATCGTTGGGACCAAAAGATGCGAAAGATTGATTTCCGGGGAAAACGGAGTCTTATTTCAAACCGGAGGCTGAAGGTGGACCATGGGGATAACCCATCGGTCCATTGTTGCATCGAGTAAATACAACTCTCCCCTGATGCTGCTTGTCCGGGCGAACCGATAAGAAGTTATTGTGGGTTTCGTCGGTGTTGACCCTCGAAAATAGCAAAGTAATCGTGGGTTGGTATCATTCGCAGGGATCTAGAGTGGGACTCGCACGAGCTTAGTTGCTAGGCTGACTCTCGATACGAGGCAGGTAAGCAATTGTGGATGTCGGCTGATGAATGTTATGCGGTCTGGAAAAGGGGCACCATTGCCGTGACAGCACACAGCCAACGGCTATAGGTTCTCTTTATGAAAAGTACTTGGCTTATTCTCAATTGAGAAGCATCGCAGTGGCTGAAGTATTGTCAGTTCATTTGTACAGAATTGCACATTTCAAATCTGGTGCGTCCCAGTAGGATTTATGTGCGCACATGGTGGCCCAGAGTCCCCGGCGGGATGATAATAGATCCTTTCCGGCGCATGTGCCTGGCAGGCAGGATAACACGTGCGTTGTGTCTTAAAAGCATAGGGGAGAAATTCTACCTATCATCAAGCTGTCTCAACTTTATTGACAATCTCATTGAGCCCCAAGCCCCGAGAAACTGTTTTAACAGGCGATGTCTTTGGATACGGGGGGCCCCTGTCAAGTCATCGTCGGAGCGGACAGGGCTACGGCCCGGATCGCCGGAGCTCGGACGATGAACATCGTCATTCGCGTGCTTCTTGACTCAATATTTGGCGGTCGTTATTGCGGATTCGAGAGCTCCCATTCGGTCTTCCAATGGCAATTCAACATGTGCAATCGGGAATGTTGGCGGCACGTTCAGGTCCCCTGAGATGCAATTGACTACTATGTAGTACAGCAAAAGCTTGTGCTTCCATCAGAATAAATAGTGAAAGCTTCATGTCGGCGAATCGGTGTTTCCGCCCGGGCAAGACATATTGCTGTCAGACTTCCGTCAGGATGGACCCCGCTATCTTGCATCAGAGGATCAACGGAGCCCCAGAGAGGGGTAGTCACCTACGCAGTTGGTCTGACTTCTGATGCATCATCCACCGACAGGAATCAACTTTCACCCTCACTTGATATTCATTGGCCATTATCACGATACTCGCCGCTATTGATCTCCATCAGCATACGCTCGATCACAATTGGAATTTTGGCGGACGGAATACCTCCGACATTATGTGGCTTATCAATCTGCAAAGTCTGGAACTCAAGGAATTCTTCGGCGGCGATATTCCTGACTACGCCATTTTGTCGCATACTTGGAGCTGCGGCGAAGTGACATTTCAACATTGGACCGACCGATCTCTAGCCTCCCAAAAACAAGGGTACCAGAAGATTCTGGATGCAGGCGCCCAAGCACGTGGTGCAGAATACAACTTCTTGTGGGTGGACACAAATTGTATCAATAAAAGCAGCTCATCGGAGCTCACCGAAGCCATCAACTCAATGTTTTCTTGGTACTTCCATTCGGGAGTGTGCCTTGCGTATCTCTCCGACATACCAACATCTGGGCAGCATTACGCCGCAGAGAATGTTTCCTGTAGCCGGTGGTTCACTAGAGGCTGGACTTTGCAAGAGCTTTTGGCTCCCAAAGAGGTTTTGTTCTCCGCAGCCGATTGGTCGCTCATTGGCACAAGGTCATCTATGGCACATCACGTTTCTTCGGCTACAGGCATCGACGTCAAATATTTCAATTCGAAGTCAATCACGTCTACGGCGTGGCAAGATCAGTGGGAGAATGACCAGAATCATCCAATTTTCCAAGCATCCGTTGGTGAAAGACTTTCATGGCTGACTCGCCCCGAACTACCAGACTTGAGGATATGGCATATTGTATGCTTGGAGTTTTCGGCATATCTATGCCTTTGATATACGGGGAGGGGTCTCGGGCATTCATGAGACTGCAAGAAGAGATTTTGAAGGTTTCGGACGATCATTCTTTGTTCTGCTGGTCTTGGGCTGCATTTTCTGTTACGGGGAGTCTACTCGCGTCTCGCCCACATGCCTTCGAAGAAGCATCTCAATTCACCCCTCGAGAAAACAATAGGCCACAGCCATACAGCACGACGAACGCGGGGCTATCGATTCAACTTCGAACTCTATCATGTTGGTCATCGTATATCAGCATTTTCAATGTTGACACCATACACAAAAACGAAGATACAGGTGTGTTACTGTCAGGAGATCCAACCACAGGTCGATTTGTCAGGTGTCCTTATCCAGGAGTCCCGATTCATCTTTGTTACACAAGAGGACTGAAGACCCATTCTATGGATATGTTTTTGCCAACGAACAGGACGGGCTGTCGTGTGATCGAAGCAACGCCCTTTGCAAGAACACCGGCAGCCAAAGCTGGGGTTCTACTCTCCTTTGATACAAGAGACAAATTCGTCGAAGTTAGGACGCTACCTGTGGGAAGTTTCTTCGGAACCTCAAGCATAGTCGATATTCGCTTCCAAAAATCAGCTTTGAATAGCAGCGCATGTGAAGATGCCGAGTCAAACTGGTTTGCAGATACAGTTGACACAGCTGCGAACATTTTGGGAGCTACAATGGTCAATTTGAAGCTTTCCAGGGAATTTCAGAACACAACCGAATCCTATTTATTTTTTGTGAAACAACCACAAGCTGGCACGCGACAAGAGCTAGAATGGCATTACTGCCGCATTCCCCACGCTGCGATTGACTTTGTTGGTTGGTCGCATTATGCAGCTCCTCAAATGTGGCAGTTGGAACATCAGGGAATAGACAGGCGGAAATACGGCCAAAAGGCTCTCATGGAACCTGAATTTGCGGATGCCTTGAATTTCTCTGTCGCAGGCAAAGTCACTGTTGCTGTTGCGGCTAGAACGTCGAAGACGGTAGGTGGAACGCTGCTGAAGCATGTACATCTGACTTGAACTAGCCTAGCGAGGAGCACATGTAGAAGCTCTGTCAGAAATCACGCATACACTTGAAAGTTCACGTCCGATCTTGGATCTATCATGGCGCTTCCATGACAGGGTTAGCAGCGCGTCATCTAATTTAACTGAGCGAATGTCCGTATCATAGATTCTTCTTCAAAGCTATGCCTTAGTCACTGTCTGCCTGATGAACGAATATATGGTTTGCCAAGAGGGAAGAGCAGTAAATTGACCATTTACTCCTGCCTTTGGGGAAACGACCTCCACAACCTAGAGCTCTGAGGCTTGCTACATCGTATCAAAACATACAACAAGCGCAATACCACTTGGTTTGTGGAATCTGGCATACACAAACTAGTTCAAGCTGGCGTAATCTCCAAAACCTGCCCTTCAGTCGTCCTTATTTCAACAGTGTACATATCCCCATCGACAAGAACACTCTCAGCATTTCCAACCCGAAGATTCAGCTTACCTCCAGTTTTCGATGTAATACCTGCTCTCTTGAAGGCACCATTCTCCCATTCGACATCAATAACAAAGTTGCCTCTTGCGACCAATCCCTTCGCACTACCCGTTGGCACGGCTTGACCTGGTAAAGCAGGAAGAATATGCACAGTCCCCGTGTGGCTTTGAAGCAACATTTCCGTGATACCGCTTGTGAAACCGTAGTTTCCGTCAATCTGGAATGTCGATCCCTTATCTGTGTTCCATAAGTTCGCGGTGGGAAACGTAGCGAACCAACCCTTCACCTGTTCCCATGCATCCGCTCCCCTGAACGATCGTGCGTACATATTGATCATCCATGTGCGACTCCACCCTGTGCTTCCTGATCCCGCATCCCTGCGACGGTCCAGTAGAACCTGAGCGGCCTCGGACAGCGTTTCGTTGACCAATGGCGAGAATTCTTTTCCAGGATGCAGAGCGTATAAAGGTGAAAGATGACGGTGACTAGGCGCCGATTCTTTGTATTCATAGCGCCATTCGAGGATCTGGCCCTTGGAACCAATCTGCGCAGGCTTGATGCGAGGCAAGAAATCTTTAGCCTTCTTCAGGTCTTGGTTGGTATCATCGATTCCCAAGATGTCCGCCGCCTCGATGATTGCACTAAAAACGTCGTGCATGAGCTGATTGTCCATGGGTATGTCGATATCCATTGGCTCCGAGCGACCAGCCACGCTGAAATTGCTCGGGACGACAAAAGTGTTCTCTGGTGACAGCGAAGGACCTGTGATTCGATAACCCTCGTGTTCAAAGGTATAACACTCATAGAACGTAGCCACGTCGATTAAAAAGGGATAGGCAACGTCTGCTAAGAATGTCTTGTCACCCGTGAAGTGGTAATGATCCACCATATGCTGTACAAGCCATGCGGCGCCCATGGGCCACATGGTAGAAGATGTGTAGTTGTCAGTCGCACCCGGGTCGCCCCAAACGTCCAGATTGTGGTGAAACATTGTGCCGTCACAGCCATACATGGCCTTCGCCATGGCTTTGCCTCTTGGGTTGGCCACTTTCATCAAGTCAAACAAAGGCTCTTGTGTCTCGATCAGATTCGTTGGACCGGCAGACCAGTAATTCATCTCGGTGTTGATATTGATAGTATACTTTCCGCCCCAAGCAGCCGTGGTTTTGTTGTTCCAGATGCCCTGGAGATTCGCGGGCATATCTATATCGGCTTCGGTGTTTCGTGAGGCTCCAACGAGCATGTGGCGGCCGAGATTCCAAGCGAGAGTGGACAGCTCAACATCACTTGAATCATTCCGGGCTATGGCCACTCTCTCATCCGTGGGTAACGCAGAAAGTCCTCGCGGTGATTTGCCAAGATCAATCGAGGCCCGTCCAAGAAGGCTGCTGGAGTCTTTGAGGGCTTCATCCCTTAGGTCTGAATAACCCTTGGTCAGTGCAGCGTTCAATTTGCGATCAATCTCAGCCTCCCATTCGTCCTGAGACGCGAAGCGATAATTAGTCTCTGCGTCGAAGAACAGGTCAATGGCCGTAGCTCCCGTGATCCTGAGAACGGGACCATCGTTTTCGAACTTGGCTACTTCAAATCAGAACGAGCCGGTACTGTAGCTTAGGGGCTCTGCATACCTCCCGGTGCCACGAAACGAGCCTGACCAGTAAACAAAATTGGGTTTTCATCAAGAGGCTGTCCGCTAGAGCCCATCAGGGTCACTGAGTTGACGCCGCCTGCAGTGGATGCAACATTGACCAAAATGTTTGCCAGTCGACTGAAGCTAGCCTTGAGGTTGAGAGCACCTTCCTCACTGGAAGTGAAACGAGCGGCGAGCACCCCAGCTGGGTAGCTCGCGACGAATTCCCGCCTATCATTCAAAATCGTTAGAGAGAGTATTCAATACGCGGAAAAGACTATACACACGTGAAGTTAACTCCGTCGAAAGCGTACGAGGAGCCCGAGTTACCCTGCTTTGTGTCAAGCCACCTCACGTAGTTCTCCAAGTTACCGCTGTGTCCGAAGTCAAGATCCAAATTGCCGAAATATCCAAACTGACGTTCGGATTTCTCGGCCGGGGTCATCTCCCTCAACACAAGCTGGCCGCCTTCGGTAATTTTGCCAGAGAGAAACAGCTTACGAGCCACAGGTAGGGTCGCCAAGGCGTTGGGAGGAGTTCGGTCTTGGATAGGACCGGACCAGATGGTATCTTCATTGATGGTGAGGGTTTCGTTTGCACCTCCCCAAACAGTTCCCCCGAGTCGTCCATTGCCGATCGGAAGAGCGCCCTGTTCCCATTCTGTTGTTGGTTTTGTGTACCAGAGGTAACGACTTCCATCAAAGGAGGATGTGGCGTTGCTTGCGGTGGCAAGCAATGCTGCAATAAACAAGGCATGTGCAAGCGTCATTGTCTCTTGTGTGACTATGGAAGTTTCGAAACCCAAGCTTTATCGACGACTAACTCCCTCGATAGACCTTTCAAGGAATCAGTCTCATTTTATAGATTTCGCTTGTAAGTTGACTATCTCTGATGACACTGCACTTCCGCCTGTCATGCACACCTTGCAGCTCCATTCTGATTGCTGGCCAAAATCCGACGCTCGTGATGCAATGAGTAGTAGTGGCATTGCGGGGAAGACGAAGTGTGTGGGGTAGGTGTGTCTGCGCCCATCCCCGACGCCCTACTCTGGGCAACAAAGTCTACTTCACATTCGTGGAGAAACAAAGGACGATTCTCAAAATGGCTTGCAGGATACGATCGTCAACCGTCCATCACGTCTAATTACTTGGACACCCCGCCGGCTAAATGCAGCCTGCGAGTCATCCTTCAGATTCGATCTCAGAAGGGTAATATTCGCCTGTCATTCACTCCCGTGCCAATCAGAGCGAACATACAAACAGCGTCAATATGCAGGTACAAGAAGGGTCAGCAACTCGTGTAAACAATCGTATTTCGGCAATCTCCCGAACGTCAATAATACGCTACGATGTCATCAAGCAACACGTGGAAGACTTAAGTGAAAACCAACGTAGGATGCACGTTGAATGACTGATTCTGTGTTGGTGGGCATCTCAAATGAGTATTAATGAAAGATACAATAGGTAGCTCTTAGCTTGATTATAAGGACGTAAGCTACCTGACTTCGGTTTCTCCCGTCGGATCCTCTTCGTCTTTCTTCCCTTCTAACTCAGCTTCGCCATAGATGAAATGATCTGTCACACACTCATCGCTGGCTTTCTGCGGGCTTTACCTCGTACGTAGTTGTGACCATGATTCCACCATGCTGACCACTAGACTTACTTGTCAAGCTTCCGTCGCGGTCACCGCTAGCCTGAGGCCAGTTGGCGGATTCGGAAGACTTGACAATATGCTCTTCGCTTGAGTTGTTATCGAACTCGGTCATGTTGTACTTGTTGTGCCTTCTCTTTGCAGGCATAGACCGGTCGGTGCTCTGGCCGCCACCTCCAATCGTGACCAGCTGATGACCATATCTATCACCTGATCCGGTGTACTTCATGGCCCCGCTGCTGCTGCCCTTGCTCGAGCTGAGCCAATGAGCCGAAGAGAAGAGAGGTCTGATGCAAGCTGCGTTCACGGCGATAATGCCAACAAACTGGCAGGGAACAACAAGTCAGTACTTTTCGGGGTTCCAAAGGATAGATGTTGCTTACAGTTTCTCGGATGGCCCAGATGGTGCTGACATTGATCCCGTCAATATCTTTCAACGACAGAATGCAGCGTAGCAAGGCAGCGATCATGACAAAAACTCCCGAGCAAAGTAGGACACCAATGGCGAGCTTGCGCTTGATACTGAGCTTCACCGTCCATAGAAGAGGCAATGGAATTGAAACAATGCACATATCAGTCCTTGAACAATCATTAGCCCCAAAACCTTCCCACGAATTAGTCTTAAAAGCAAAAGAACTTACGTTACATTGAGAACAACCAAACTCAAGTAGTTTGGAACGGCCAAAGTGCACTCGTCTCCTGGGTATGGCACAACCTGCCAGTTTCTTTGCACGGGTGTACAATGCCCCCAGATAACAACGATTACGCCGCAATACGCTAAAATGGTCGCGATAGCAGTCCATTTCACGATCTTTTGTTGTCTTGTCGCAAGTCTGTGTAAACAGCCATGTTCAGCTCGACTCCTTATAGAGTAGGTAGTAAGGACGGAGGAAGGACGTACGTGATGCGGCTGAAAAAGAAGAGAATGCAAGCCTTCAAGCACCAAATAAGAGTAACGTAGAAGTTCCATCCCGCCAGCAGGCACTTCGAGCCAAATTCGAACTTTGCAATTTCTTGGGGTGTCAGGGTCGCGCCGATTTCGTCGGTAATCCCAATGTTGGTTCCATTTTGACCTGTTGAAGGGGCACAAATTAGACGTCGAACTGAACAATTGCAGGGAAGGGACAGACCAACCGATGAGCTCCAGCATACACAGTTCTAACTACAAGATAGAGTTAAGGTAAGCAATCTGTCCAAGACGTCTGGAATATGATTGGTGTGACTTACAGTCCAGAAAATCAAGCACAGAATTGCGAAATAGTCATCCCCTTGCCAATTGAAGCCGATTATTCTCCAGCGAGCGAATATTCGAAGTAAAATCACAATTACACCAAGACCATACTCTGTCCAGGCCTCAGTCTGGAAGGGAGTCGCCATAGTGAAAGAGGAAAAAGACACGAAAGGAGTGAAGAGGCCAGCCAAGCAAAACACCCTCAACAGCCGTCAGAACCACCAAAATAACCGACACAAGGCCGGTGGGAGTTTTCGGGGCGCCTCGGATTAAAAGCCGCATTCCTTCGATCAAAATGTGTTTACGTACAACGTTTTCTCGCCATCTGGACGAGGATCGAGTCTGCTTCCCCTGTGTGTGATTGACAGGGGATTAGCCCCCGAAACGACATAACGTCTTCAGCGGGTGTTACTGAAAAGGACAATCCTTGGATCCGAAGTTCCGGCAAGTCACAATTGACAATGCCCTCTCCTGTTTGGGCAGGCAGCGATCGACGGGGAAATCGTTCTAATCAGGCTCCCAGGGAATCAAGGCAACAATGTACTGTCTTGGCACAGAATCGGGCCGCCGCGATATTCCTTCCAGACGATAACCACGTGCGGGCATGGAATATGAGTCGGCCAGCTGTTCATGTTGGCTCCTGCGGCGAGATAAGCCAAAGCTCGGCGGTGGTTGTATGAGCATCGCGCAGCAATGAAGTCCTTGCTCTGCACATATCCCAGGCATAGCGCATTTCCTGCGCCCACTGAGCATTTCCAAATCTGGACAGCTCTCCTGGTCTCTCAAGGATATGACCGTTGACTTGAACATTCACAATTCCCTGGCGGCTCACCGGTAGGTCTGAGCTCGCACTGATCATCACTATTCACAACGAATCAGATATTCCGGGCTAATGTTAGCCAAGCAATGTTATCCATTTGGACTCTTCAATTCCGACCCATAAGTACTTGCTATCCGTGTGCTGAAGGTGAAAAGGGCCCAGTCTCCGTGCGTCTTTGGTCCAACACAACGTAGCATCCGCCAGAGCGGTGATCCGCAGGACCACTTGAAAAATTTCTCAGACCAAACGGAAGCAATTGAATGGTCGAGGGTATTATCGCCAAGATAGACCCCCAAGGGCATGGCCTTGCCAGCAGGGGTCTCGCTCCATATTACGAAATATTACAGGCCATGAAGGGTACGTGTGCATTCTCCATCAGCCGCAGGTCTCATAGTCACGCATGACAATTGCTCACAATTTCCGTAAAATGGGTCAACAGTTTTCATCTTCCAGTTGTCTGGTAGGCTAGTTGGCGATGCTGTCAAAGCTGAATGCAGACGCGGATTTGGTTCCTCTTGTGGGAAATCCCTGGTCGATTCAACCCCCCTTATCAGATTCGTCGCGTAAACACAGATGGAGACGGCCCACAGTCGGTCGGCGAAAGGGAACAGTCAGTCAAAATTAGAAGTGATGTGGGCGCCACTCCCGTCCGGCCCCATATCCCGAGCTTCATAATTCTGCTCGTTCCAGATTTCCCACGGGGGAGAAAGGCACCCCAGACCTTGATGGAAGTTCTCGGGCTCCAATGGTCAACTTGTCTCCACAACTCAAAAAGCACGACTCTTGGATGCATTTCTGTGCGAGTTGCTCGCGTTCACTTTGATGTTGCGAGAACGCTGAAATATCACCAAGAAAACTGCTGCAGAGTATCAAGGGTCTTCTAGAATGACAATGTTGCATTGACTCACTCTAATGGTTCGATGCCAATTACGAATTATGATCATGACCTGCAGTATCGGAGCATTCGATGGCAGGATGCAACCTGAACGGTCTTGAGGAAGCTTGGTACGCCTCATCCCTACTGAAAGAGGAAGGGGGCAAGCCTTCGTACGACGAAGAACCTTTCAAACACGGCTGAGAAGGATGATGTTCAGAGCCTCCCAATCCTTTTTTTGCCTTCGTTTCGTTCTAGGCCAGGGGCAACTTCTGTAACTGTCGCATTCTGGGCTGTGAATGTGAGAGATTTTGACTGCCCTAGAAGTTGCATCCTGCGATGCCTTGCAACCAGCATTCCCATTGGTTCATGAAGTCTCACTAATGATGATCGTCGGTCGGTAGTTTGTCGCCCAGCGAAACCCGGCATAGAGCCGGACAGTTTTCATGTCGAAGCGTCGTTGGGGCTGTACAAAAGGTCTTGGGATATTCACAATGGGCTTAGTTCGTGCATGTTCTTCAGAGGATCGACCCCGGAGTTGCTTCCGGTTGCTGCATTACTTCTGTGGGTGCTCTCATGCACGACGGTCGCTGAAGACACACGCAATCCTAGCACCAACAGTGGTTAAAGCTGTTTTGCGTGTGCGGGGACCCCAGACATCGGCCCAGCCGTGGTGGAGATGGTTCTGCCAGACCCTGCAGGTTGCGACCATTACCACCGAAGCCACCGGCCATTGAAGCGGTTCAGTTTCCTTTTGGAGAAGATGGGCATCACTTGGCAACGGCGCAGCTTTCCCCAGTCGTATGGGGGCAAGCTCAGCATACTCAAGGGGTAGATAGCAGGTTGGTGGATGTCAGATGAGGGGGAGTTGAGGTCGATACGTGCGAGAGGAGAAAGCGAGAATCGGACGCGGGTCTAAGACATTGCGTGAGAGGGTGCATACAAGAATCCGCAACCTAGCCACTCGAAGGGGTGCATCGGTCATTTTTCTCGTCATTGTCTAAGCTTTCTCGCCAATTCTCTTGAAATCATCCCGACTTTAGTCCTGAACTTTCAACATGGGTTCTATTCCTCAAGATCTCGTTTACGACTTCGTCATTTGCGGGTAGGTCCTTGGCACTTGGACAGAACACAAATTTTGGGGGCTCCTCGGAAACTGACCTGGCTGTCTCTGTTTTCTAGTGGCGGCACTTCTGGTTGCGTTGTAGCTAGCCGACTTGCCGAGAACCCCAACACCAGCGTTCTTGTCATTGAGGCTGGCGAACACAACAAGGACTTGGAGAATGTTCATATGACAGGGGGGTGAGTCAAAGAACCGCAATTGCAACTCACGTTTTCGTTCAATGCTCACAAGCTCTGCTTCGCATTCTAGTTGGTCCCAACTTTTCGACAAGGAGACCGACTGGAACATCATCAGCGAGCCCAAGGTTGCTGTTAATAACAGACAAGTGAAGCTAAGTCGGGGCAAGTTTCTCGGTGGATGCTCAGGATGCAATGGTACTCTATGCATTCGAGGCGCCAAGCAGGACTACGATGACTGGGACGCTGAGGGCTGGAGTGGCGAAGACTTTTTCAAGTATGTCCGCAAGGTATGTAAATCCGAGACCCTTTGATTGCTCCACTCTCCTCATTAGTTGTTCGCATTTCTAACATGCAATTTGCGCAGGCCGAGAACTTCCACGGAAAGGATTGGTTCAAGGCGTCTTCCGACCATGGCACCGAAGGCCACCTGGACATCGAGCCGCATGATCTCGCTCCCATCTCCAACCTTATCATGGATTCCATGGTTGACAAGGGACTCCCACTTGATCACGACATGTTCACCCATGGAAACAACCCTCATGGATGTGGCCATGCGCCGAGAACAGTGTACAAGGGAACTCGCACGACTGCAGCCAACTTCGTTACAAACGCCAACACGAGGGATAATCTGCATCTCATGACTCAAACACACGTTGACAAGGTTATCATCGAGAACGTCAACGGGGAGCTCAAGGCTACTTCCGTCCGTGCAGTCAAGCCCGACGGATCCCCCGTCAACATCAAAGCAACCAAAGAGATCATTGTGAGCGGCGGTGCCTACTGCAGTCCCAACATCCTGAATCGCTCTGGCATTGGTGCCAAGTCTGAGCTGGAAAAGTTCGGCATTCAGACTTTGGTTGACTTGCCCGGTGTCGGTAAGAATTTGATGGATCATCTTGTGAGTCTACCTTCTTCACATATGTGTCAAACCTTCTGCTTACAGGAGCATCAAGATCGTTTTTATGTTCTACGAGACTGAAAAGGAGGGTCTGACCAACGACCATCATGTTTACCACGGCGATAACTTTGCGAAGACATATGCTCTCTGGAAGGACCACAAGGCGGGCTTTCTGTCGACCTTTCCCTTTGGTGCTTTTGCGTACGCCCGCTTAGATGACCGTCTCGCCGATTCGGACTTGTGGAAGAATGCCCCTCGCGAAGAGGGACGTGACCCGATGGGTCTCACGCCGAAGCAACCCAACATTGAGTTCTTCACCACCGAATGCTACGGTGGGCCCAAGCAGTTTGATAAGTTTCCCGTCGACAACAAGCATGCCTTCAGCATGATCGCCGAGCTCTTTGCCCCCAAATCTCGGGGCACTGTGACCCTTCGCAGCACTGATGCCACCGCGGTCCCTGTCGTCGATACCAACTACCTTGCTGACCCTCTTGATGTCGAGGTCCTCGCTGAGGCGTGCCGATTTGGTAATGAGATCATCATGCAAGGCAAGGGTACCAAGGGTATCGTCAAGGGTTCTTGGCCAAGCGAACTTGTACACCACAAGTACACGACTCGTGAGGAGTGGATTCCTTACGTGAAAGATAACGCAACCACCTGTGAGCTCTCCACCAGTTACCTAACATCCTTGAATGATTGCTAAGATCACGAACTAGGTTACCACGCTGCTGGTACTTGCGCAATGGGCAAGGCAGACGACCCGAAGGCTGTTGTGGACCATACCCTCACCGTGAAAGGAGTCAAAGGCTTGCGTGTAGCTGATTGCAGTATCATGCCAACCCTCAACGGTGGCCACACGCAGATGCCGGCCTACGGCATTGGTGAAAAGGCTGCCGACCTCATCAAGGAAACTTGGAAGCTCAAGTAAGAGCCTATTTGGATGAGGAACGCCGGTTGGAAGCTTCATCTCAGTCCTGGTTGAGAAAAACTAGTTACCAAACGTGTCTTCCTTGACGCGTGAATCATCAAGAGCAGCCCGAATTAGGCTAGCTTCTTTTGTATGCAGTTAAAATGGAAATAATGTGACGAATCATGATTTCGGGGCACTTCGCACGCCTCCACGAAACGAATTTACTAGTGATGCATGTCGGCCGGTCTAGCACACCTTCGAAGCACATACGATGCGACTGAGCTCAATCGAGAAACAGTCGTCTTGCAATCACACAACATCAAGTGCTCAAGAATAGCAAAAGCACACAATAATGGGTGCGCGGCTTCCCCGGCATGTTCCCGACGAATGCAGCATTTGCAGACATTGGATGTCAATGGAAAGAACTTCAACTACGAGGAGTATCGACTATTCAATAATCGAGATTCTAGTCTAATCACATGTCCATTTGCTACGATTCTGCGGTTAGCTATCACACAAGAACAGTAGTTTCCGACGGATTTTCAGCAAGATAAATATCACGCCAAAGCCGGTGGAAACAATCCCAGTCTGATTCGACCAAACCTGGAGCTTTTTGGCCCGCCGAAGTTGACGGATAGTTTGCAGATCGGACATCTTCTTCCAGTGTCGAAATCTCTTGACTCTCATCAGTGCATGGATCTTGTCACCTCTTGGATTGAATATTGTAACGAGTGACATAAAGGAACGGCCTGCCGAGCTACTGATGTTACGCCGCTTCCGCGCAGAGTTCTTTATCTTGGCGAATCGAAACGCTGCCTTCGTCTCTCGGAAACGAACCGCGAGAATGAGCGATACGTCGCTTTAAGCCATCGATGGGGCAAGCAACAGATACGTGTCACAACAAAAAGTAATGTCGCCATGCGCAGGGATGGAATTCCATGGGACGACATGCCGAAGTCGTTCCAAGACGCCATTACTGTATGCCAGCATGTTGAAGTATGCTCCCTGTGGACTGACTCGCATCGGATTGAATACTGGTACACGTCCATAGTCGAGCAGTTCACTACCATGTCTCTCTCTTTCGAAAATCTCTTTCGAAAAGGACCGGCTTCTGGCCATCCTAGCCATGGCCACACAAATTCTGGATCGTAGCGAAGACCGATGCTTAGCCGGAATTTGGGAAGTAGATATACTCCCAGGACTTCTTTGGCGCTATTTTGGTAGGGGTGGTATCGATTCCACTGGGAATGAAACTATTTTCTTCCCCATGTCAAAAATTGGCACCGAACTACAGGCGCCGTCCTGGAGTTTGGCATCTGCTGAAGGTCCGATCACGTACAGTCCGGTTCGCGGATCTTCTCGGCGTACTGTCGATGCCGAAATTCTAGCAGTGAACTACCCAAAAGTTTACAACGATTCTCGCTACATCATTAGCTCCAGTTGCAGTTTGCCACTTCGGGGAAGGCTCATGAATGTCATGCTAGATCTACCAGATCGACTACTCTTGCGCGAAATTCGACGGCAACCCAGCCACATTGCACACTGCAGTTCAGCCTTTTTGGACACACAGCTCAAGTTGAATCGAATATTGCAATTCCGATGTACGACGATTCCTATCGGTGTCATCATGCAATTCAACCTGGTTGCCACTGCGGCCTGAATCACGAGACTGTGGTGTTCTGGCCGGATGCCCAGTTGACTCTGGCTCAAGGTCACGATGGGAAGAAATATTTCGAGAACCGTGTTTGACCTACAGAGATTGTGACTCCGGGTCGGATAGAAGTACAATGCCTTCTTTTATATACAGACTCCCAGGCGTGTCGGGATGGTATTATTGTGCAAAAGTCTAGACAAAACGAACGTTCATACGAGCGACTTGGGCTGGTTGAGTTATACTCTACGCATCCTGCCATTGACTCGATCGCCGATGTCGGAAATGTTGAGATTTTCCTCACTTGATATCGTCGTAATAAGTGATGAGTTTTGCGATCCGGGCTGATACTTCTAGCTATTTAGGCGGACAACTACTTACCTTAAGCGCAATGGTCTATATCATTTGAATAGTTATGCTATTAGTATGATCCTTATCATCTTTACTTTTATTAATATCTTTATCTTCTCTATTTAAATTCCTCTTACTATCTGTATTATCGTCCCTCTCGTCGTCTTCGTCGCCCCGATCGTCGTCTGTACCTACTACCCGCATCAAAACTCTAAATCATCTGTACTAGGCGTCCGCCAAGACAAGGCATTTGGGGAGTACGTTCTGTAGCGTCAGCTGTAAGTTGATCGCATGTTGAATTGATGCATGTTGAAGCGAAGCCCGACGGACAAATTTCGATTTCTCTCGATTTCAACGAATTGGTATGAGTGGAAGTAACCTCTACTCTCTCTTGAATACCGGCATCCAATCCAAGGGTGCGTCGACCTCGATCCACTGACCACCCTCGTATGCGTCTTCTTTGCCTTTCTGAAGCGACTTCCACTTGCCATCGATCTTGGGCAGGTAAACCTTGATACTCCTCTTATCGGCGTGCAAGACAGGACAAATCAGGTACTTGTCACCGAACATGTACTGCTGACCAATGCTCCAAGTTTCTTTATCATCCGGGAACTCATAAAACAGAGTCCGCATGACAGGCGTTCCTTTCTCATGAGCTTGCTTCATCAAGGTCCTTGTGTAGTCTCTCAACTCCTCGCGAAGGAACATATACTTCTTGCAGATCTCATAGACCTCAGGTCCATATGACCATACTTCGTTCGGCGCACCACTGTGGCACTCAGCACCTCCGGTTGTACCATGCTGAGGCTGCTCTGGCTCGCGGCATCCATGAAGTCTGAACACTGGGCAGAATGCACCCCATTGGAACCAACGAACGAACAGTTCGCGGAACTTCTCATTGCGAGGGTCACCACCGTGGAAGCCTCCAATATCCGTGGTCCACCAAGGGATCCCGGAAAGACCCATGTGGAGGCCGGCTGCTACCTGGTTTCGCAGACTGCTCCACGAAGAAGCAATATCGCCACTCCAGACAAGTGCACCGTATTTTTGACTTCCCGCCCAAGCGCAGCGGATCAAGTTGACGATATTCTGCTGACCTTCTGCCTCCATTCCTTCGTAGAATGCTCGAGCATACTCGACGGGATAGATATTGCCGACGGAAACATTGGATCCCGCATGATATCGATAGGTATCAAAGTCGTACACGGTGTACTCTGGTTCGGCCTCATCTAACCAGAAGACACGGATGCCCTTGTCATAGTAATTCTGTTTGGCCTTCTTCCAGACATAATCTCTCGCCTCTGGATTCGTGGCATCGAAATGCGTGGTGTCCCCTTGGAAGTTCATGGCGATACGAATGCCCCTATCAGACTGGATGAGATATCCCTTCTCGACCATCTCGTCCCAGTTCTCGGATTTATGGTCGACTGTCGGCCAAATCGAAATCATGAGCTCAATCTTGAGCTCTTGCAGCTCCTTGATCATAGCGTCTGGATCGGGCCAGTATGTTGGGTCGAACTTCCATTCGCCCTGCTTCGGCCAATGAAAGTAGTCGATCACGATGAGGTCGATCGGTAGCTCACGTCTTCTGTATTCTCGAGCAACCTCAAGAAGCTCCTCTTGAGTCTGATATCGCAACTTGCATTGCCAAAACCCTAGACCATACTCTGGCATCATTGGAACCTTTCCGGTGGCGTCGGCGTATGCCTCGACGATTTTGGAAGGTGAGTCTTCGGCCACAATCCAGTAATCTAGGGCCCTTGTGGATTTGGCCTCGAAACTCATAATGTTTCGTCCAAGAATAGCTCTTCCCACAGACGGGTTGTTCCAGAGAAATCCGTAGCCGAGCGATGACAATGCAAACGGAATACTGGCCTGGGAGTTGCGGTGGGCGAGTTCCAGATCGTGGCCCTTAATGTCGAAGAAACTCTGTTGATACTGACCCATTCCATAGATCTTCTCGTCCGGGTCGACGCTCTCAAATCTGGCGGTCAGGTGATAGTCATTGCTGTTAACAATCGCCATGAACTCGCGAGCCTCAACATCAAGGGCACTGCACTTGGGGTCCAGGACATCCCGACGATGCCTTGAGTACTCCTCGAGAATCAGTTCCCCTTTGTCATTCCACATTAAAAGCTTTCCACCTGTTGTGATGGTTGCCTTGATCTTGCCGTTGGTGATGGTGCCACCCTGCTCATCGAAGGTAATCTTGACATCGGTATCTTCTGGTTTCAGCAGAGCCCAGTCCTCCGTAGGCATCTCACGGGCTTTGGTGGCTCGAACTCGGAATGCGTTGGGGCCCCATGGTTCAACCCAAACCTTTTCAGCATCGTAGGCGTAAACCAACTTTCCCTCTGTCTTTGGGAAGGGCATTTTGACGTTCTTGGAGGGGGTTGATTCTTGAATTCAGTGATCAGTGAAGATGTCGCCAAACAGTCGTTGACGAAGAATGTTGGCGGACGAACAGAGCAATCCGTGAGGGGTAATCGGCGGTACGTCAAAGGTTTCTCAGTTTTGTACTACCATGCGCCTGCGTCCCGCGTGCGGAGTTGCTCCTGTTGCCATGGCTCGATGGATGGAGATCGCAGGATAAAAACGATGCCACGAACAGCGGCATATGACACTTGCTGCGCAGAATTGACCACTCGGATGTCGCGAAAGCCGCAGTGCCCACCGGCGGCGTTTGTGATGCCCCGCAGCTGCCGAACGAATGATTCGAGATGAGGGGCAGATGGGGGGAAATTGGCGAGGACCACGATGTCGGCCGAGATCCACCCCCGCGGACGTGGACTCGGGTAAAGTTACGAACCATCCCCGAAAACAGCTAAGACTTTTGCCTGAATTGAAGTGGGATATTTGTCGGAAAGTTAATGTGCGTTCAGTGGTGATGAAACACCGATATGCTGCTTAATGAGCCAACAGGGAAGAGCTTCTAGCTGATGTTAAATCCCCAGAACGTCGCGCAGGCCATGTCGTCGGTATGAGCGGGAGCAATCTGCAACGACACAGCTGAATGTTTTTTTCTCATAAGCTAGGTTCATTCACTATTTCCAGCATCTTTCCATGAACTCTTTGAAGCCCAGCACCGGGACGTCCGGGAACACTTGGTTCAGCATGTTGTCAGGATTGGCCAGTCCCTCCTCTAAGTCATAGAAGCCCTGAATGAAGCCGATGTTCCACACACACAGCACCGCATCCAAAATTCCCTTTGGAAACGCCATGTATCGCCGCTTGTTCCCGGGGAGCTCCGTTATGACACCTTTTTTGAGGTCGTAGAGAGACTCGATCTTGACGTCGAACGTTTTGCCTGTTATCATCCTGCGTCAGACTTTGCAACTGCTGTAAGACGGAATCATCGTACCGCGAGCCTCCTCCGCGATTTCCAAAGCTTGGTTCCAAGTCAGAGTATCTCCAATAATCAACGCTTTCTTGGGCCAGCAAGGCAGGTCGAGACTCGCTGCCACGAACCTGCCGATCGTCTCTGAATGGGTGAGCGTCACGGGCGAGTTGCCGTCGGTCGGAATTGCTGCTTGGCAATTTTCCACGTCTAGCACAACTGCTAATGGAAGTACGGGGCAGGGTACAGCGGGATATCCATAGTAGTCCATCAGGAATCCGGATATAAATCTAGTATATTCCATCTGGGTGGACTTCAACTTTTCGAGGGTCTCCACTTTGTACTCGGCAGCTTTGTACATCTGAGACCCGGGGACGGGAAAAGGATAACCTCTGGTACGGAAGTTAGTCATTAGATACTCCTGTTCGGAGTCGAATAACACATGCTGGGTTACGCCTTGAACGTAGTCGAGGGCGAACTCGCTGGGTGCAAATCGCCGGACAGTTGTCGAACGAGAAGCTCCTTCAATAAGGTTCATTTGCGCACGATACGAGTCTTCGAACACGATCCCAATGGCTGATATGATAACCTCGATGTTGTTGCTTTCCAGGAGACCGGTGATCTGAGAAACGTTACTATAGTCAACTGTCAAGCACCCAACACCAATGGTCTGCTCGGAGATGCTCAGAGACTGTGTGACAATGTTAATGCATATTCACGATGAAAGCCTTCATCGACTTACTCTCCGTGAAAGTATGAACACGTCGTGTTTCCCACTTCGAGCAACGGCCTTCGTGATCACACGGCCCAGGCCTCCAGAACCTCCGGCAATCGCAACTCGTACCATGACTGTTAAATTTCGATTGGGTTTGTGGGAACAATGATTATCTACTTATTTTCTTCTTGTGAATCAAATTGCCCAACACTTATATGTTGCCTGAACCTCGGCTCCATGACTTCAATCTAGGGGCAATGGAATTCGAACTCGATGCATCTCGGTAAGATGTGGGGCCTCTACCGGCCCTGGGCACGTCAATGCCATCATCTCCTACTGACGAATCATATCAAGTATTATCGGGCGTAGGTATGTTTTTTTGCTTTGACATCTCCCGTCAAAACGTAAGTTTTAAGCTCAGAGACAAACATCGGAAGGTGGCGCCACATGCCGAAAACTCAATTACGGTTCGGACCTCTGAAGTTGTAAGCCTGTGTAAGTGAACAATGCTTGAGAATGATCGGGTTTGACTAAAAACCCGCACGATTCAACGTTGGTCAATACGAAAGCTGGAGTAGATATAAGATTTTGGGTTCAACTAGAGCCTTGATCGGACTCACATCTCGTCACTGAACCTTCCTGGATGAATGTCAACGATGGCATCCACAAATACGGCTGTCGACATACTCCGAAAGCAATTTTCAATCGGCAAATCGGCAAGAATCCAGCAGGGAAAAACCCCAATTCAAAAGCATAGAAGGTATTATTCGGAAAGTTGTATAACACAGAAACCTCTCAAGACCCGAGCGCAGCGTTCCATCCCTTCCAAGGATGTGAAACGAACACTACCTCGATGTGTAGCCTCCATCAACCATCAACGCAGACCCGGTAATAAAGGAACTCCGACCTCCGGCAAGATACAAGACTCCGTCCGCGATCTCCTTTGCGTGGCCCATCCTCTGCATCGGCACCGCACTAGCCACTCTCTCCTCCATAGCCTTCAATACCTCAGGGTTCTTTGTTGTCATGGGAGTTTCCGTGTATCCAGGGCAAATGGCATTGATACGCAGGCCATCTTTAGCGTAATCTTCAGATGCGGTGCGGGTAAGACCAATGACTGCATGCTTTGTTGTCGTGTACGCAGTCGACAGGGTGATGCCAACCACGCCCTGAATAGATCCAAAGTTGACGATAGAGCCACGCTGGAGGGGTCTGCCATCAATAGTAGAAAGAATTGGCTCTTGCTTAAGCATAATCTGCGCGGCTGCTCGAAGGACGTAAAATGTGCCGTTGATATTCACGTCAAGAACTCGCTGCCAGTCCTCTGTTTTGGCGAATGCAGCACCACCAGCATGCTTGATCGCAATACCAGCGGCGTTGACGACGTAATCTAGTCTGCCAAATTTGGCAGCTGCATCGTTGACAACGCGGGTGATCTCCGCTTCGTCGGCGATGTTGACAGGGTATGTAAGAATCTGAATTGACTTTGCGCTGCCGTTTGCTCCGGTTTGTTGCTTCTTGCTGACTTGCTCCTCAATTTCAGCCTTGACAGTAGCAAGTGCGTCAGCATTGAGATCAAGAAGCGCGACGCCAGCGGATCCTTCTTGGGCAAAGGCGTTAGCGCATGCTCTCCCAATGCCGGAGGCAGCTCCCGTAACCAAGGCGAAGCCAGGAACGTCCATTTCGTTTTCAAGGTTTTAGAGAGAATGAGAAGACAAATGTGCGGAGTATCGAGACGTAGGTATTGATGCGGTAGCTTTCAGGTTGATGGCACAGTCGAAGATTCAGATGGAGACACATGCTACGATGTCGTGTTGCGTATAACACTCTATCTACAATTAAATACTCTGGCATCGTGAACTTGCCCTGGATTCCTTTCTACATCTAGAAAGCCACTTGGAGTAGCTTTCCATTGACTTCCTGCCCCTCCATGGAAGGACTTTCCTGATTGAAATGAAGAGTCGCTCGCCCCCACATTCGGTTTTAGATCCCCGCCCGTTGCGTCTTGCGCGGGGTCGCCTACGGCCATCCCGCCCTACCCGCGTTGTCACGCGTCAACCATGCTTATCAGCAGGACAAGTATGACACCCGGAAGCGGGGCTCTATTTTGCATCGCTGCGGGGTTGGGTCATGATAGAGACCTTGAGGCGAATGTGATAAGGATCAGCCAGCAAATCGATGCACCTTATCACCTATTGGAGAGGTTGTGTTACACGGGAAAGTGACAGCCGTCACAAATGCAGTGGAGGCCGAAATCGGAGAGATGGCATTTCTTCCGCGGGTAACAAGAATCCAAAACCGAGGAGGCGCATTCAGGGCGAGGTCAAAATGGATAGGTACTCCCCTTGGCGTATCAAAGGAGCAGATCTAGGCGATGCATTCGATGCCACACCCCGACTCATCATTGTCAACCAGGGGTGATGTTCTTCCCCAATGGCTACACGAGTGGTCATCTGGTCAACTTGTGTATGGTCGTCACAAAAGCGGTATCAAAAAGACGAAATTGGCGAGATTTGGGTAAGATCATGTCATCACTTCAAGATTGAAGGTTGTACGAGTGGCAATGTGAATGAAAATGAGCATAATGAAATAATTGGCGCTATCTCAATTCTAAGCCAAGACTAAACCCTTATATCCAGCTTCTTTAACTTCCCTGCATCTTCTCTGGAACTCTTGTGCTGAACCGCCGTATCTTACCACGCTTCGAACCTGCTTGCCCCTAATGTTGGTGTTGACACCGGTCATCCAACTGTCAACCTCATTGACCAAAGAGCCCTTGCTGCATTCAAAGACGTGCTCCGTCCATCCATCTGCGGCCTCTTCCGTAGCCTCAGCATACGTGTAACCCTTCTCCCTGCAGTACTTCAAGAGATCCACAACTACCTGCACGGCATGCTCAATGTTTCGCGTAGCGTTACCGAACGGCTGATGCGGGCCGAGAACCATGAACATGTTGGGCATGGAAGGGACCGTCATGCCAAGATAGGTATAGGGCCTGTTGTCAACCCAGACAGCCTTATCGCCTTTGGGTGTTCCGCTAGGTGCGATCAATGGACGACCGTCCTTGCCTTGCCAATCAATCGCACTGAAAGAGCCAGTGATGGCATCAAATCCGGTCGCATAAATGAGAATATCAAGCTCATGCTCTTTGCCATCCGACGTCACGATGCCCTTTGAGGTAACTTCGGCGACTGGTGTCTTCTTCAAGTCGATGAGATGAACGTTGTCTTGGTTAAAGGCCTCGAAGTAACCACTCTCGAGCGGCACTCTCTTGGTACCAAAACCGTAGGTCTTGGGTATCAGGCTCTCTGCAACCTCGGGATCGTTGACTCTTTGGCGTATCTTGTCGGCGATGAACTTGGAGTACATCTCGTTGGCTTGACGGTCCGTATATGCATCGCTAAACACGCCCTGCCACTTGCCAAAGCCTGGCTCGTTGTAGAGCTTCTCCCAAAGAGCCAGACGCTCCTCGTCTGAGACCTCCATAGTCTTGCGGGTATCAGCCATATGCATGAAGCCGGACGGAGTAGAGCGGCAGATCTTGAAGATATCATCGTAGCTGTTCTTCAACTCTTCCATCTTCTCTTCGGAGATTTCATAGTTGCGAAGAGGCACGGTCCAGGTCGCCGAGCGCTGGAACACGTTGAGAGACTTGATGCTGGGCTCCTTCGACAGGGCGGTGATGGTCTGGATACCCGTTGCGCCAGTACCAATGACACCGACGCGCTTGCCAGCAAAGTCGCGGCTCAAGCTTAGGTCCTCTGGCCACCTAGAAGTGTGGAAAGACTGGCCTTTGAAGTTCTCAATGCCGGAAATAGCAGGAAGCGATGGCGTGGAGAGGAAGCCGATGCAGCTCAAGAAAAAGGTGGTGACATATTGATTTCCATCCTGGTCGACAAATGTCCATGTACGATCGCTGTCACTCCAGCGTGCGGACTTAATAGTTGTGTTGAATTGGATGTGGCTGTACAAGTCGTTCTTCTCGGCGAAGCGACGGATGTACTTGTGTGTCTCGGGTTGGGGAGAGAAGGCCTCCTTCCAGTGCCACTCCTGCAAAAGCTCCTTGTCAAAAGAGTACCCGTAAGACACGGACTCGCAGTCAAAGCGGCATCCGGGATACCGGTTCCAGAACCAGGTGCCGCCGACGTCCGCGCCGTTATCGAGAACTTGGACACGGCAATCGGGCATCTGCTTGCGGATATGGTGGAGACTTGCAAGGCCAGAGAGACCAGAGCCGATGATGAGGACATCAAAGGTCTTCTTGATTGGTGTCGGAATGGAACCCATGTCTGCGACTATGCAAAAGATATGGGGAAGATGTCGGGGTCTAGAGACTGTAAGAGACAGACTCAATTGGAGTTGTAAGACAGGTTAGCAAGTAAAAGGGTCGTTGGCTGTGTGTTTGAAGTTCAGGACTTGTCTAAATAGCTGTTCAACGACATTTTCACGCACCGAGATGTAGTCACCAAGATCATGTCAGATATTCTGCTGCTGAGAAGGTCTCTGCACAACTTTCCCATCGCAGTATCCTGATGCATCCATGGCATACAAACAGCTGATCGATCGAGTGGGGCCTATCGCGGGAGGCGACTTAGGTCGAGGGGATAACTTTCCATCTCTAGAATTAGCAGGCGGCGATAAGAATAGTCGCCGATCTGGACCCTCCCCCGCATTGCCCACCAACACATCCTAGCGTGAAGGGATGGCTTTCCCCTTTGAAATGCCTAATCAATTCCACCACTGATAGAAAGATATCAAGTATCACCTATCTCAAACTTTATCGGAACATCACTGGAGGGCCAGAGCTGCACACCTTCTCCATGATAGGGATTTTAGTCGCGGAAGACCACCCATGATTCGTCAGGTGAGCATGCGTACTGCAGGCGCTGGCATGTAGCTGGCTGACCACCATACTTCGGATACGTTCCAAATTAGACCGCGGTTATCGAGTCAATTGGCAAGTCACAGAACAGGCACGACAGTGTTATACGTTCAGTCACAATGCATGCAATTCCTGACAACAACGAGCTGGAATTTGAGGTCTCTACCTAAGAGATTTCCCTTGCACATGAGACGCAGCTTGGTTAACCTTGGGCAGTAGCTAGATAAACGTGTATTGATCTGGGTAGCGACGCTAAACTTTCTCGTGACATTGGGATGTCCTCCCTTTGAGTGCTTCACTCATCCCCAAATCGCTGACACCATGCGCCAAGCCTTGTTGGCTGCACCCGCCTTCTCTTCCTTTTCTTTCTCCAAGTTGGTCCACCACTCAGCTTCAGCCTCGACCTCCCTGAGATCCGATGTGAGATCAACGGTCTCGGGGGCATACAGCCACGGGTCATTCTTGCCAACGGTAAGCTTGTGGCCGAGGTAGATGACAATGAAGAGCGGAATTCCAATGTAAGCCGTCAAAAAGCTAGATGCCGAGAACCTGCCGGGGTAGAAGACGGTGAAGCCATTGGCCAAGAGCAGGAAAGTAAAGCAGGCCATAGAGATGTACGCCCCGTACGGCTGGCACCATGACTGGTAAGGAACCTTGATGCCCTGGACATTGCAAGCCTTGCGGAAGCGAAGGAAGATGAGACCGCAGAAAATCCAGGATGTATAGCCAGCGGTATTTGTCAGACTGACGAACCAGTTGAACACGACTCCGGCATCTGAAGAAACGCTCAGGTATGCCAGCAAGGTGAAGCAGCTAGCAGCAATGACAGCGTAGATGGGGAGTCCGTAGCTGTTGCATCGAGCGAAGATCTTCGGGGCGTTGCCTGCAACAGCAAGCGAGTACAAAGACCGACTCGCCATGTACAGATAGGAGTTACCAGCAGACCACGCGCTCGTCAGGATTCCTGCATTCACAACGGAGGGAAGTCCGTTGATTCCTGCATTCCTGATAGCAATAACCCAAGGCGATGCGTCGGCGTTGCCGGCTCCAGACGTCAGGCCCTCGGAGTTGGAGTTGCAAATAGCACCAATTGCTAGGGACCCCAGGAGGTAGAAAATGATAAGTCGGTAGAAGAACCTCCGGCTCGCAATAGGAAGATTCTTCCGAGGGTTCTGCATCTCTCCGCCGGTAATTATAATGAGCTCTGGGCTGAAGTAGAAAGAGAAGCCGGAAAACACCCATCCATAGAGGAACGCGGTGAAACGGCCACCAGAGCCCGTGATGATGTATTCTTTCGTTGCTCCCGGATCAACCCAGTAGTAGAATCCCAGACGCTGGCCGCTGGGGCCTCCTCCGAGAATCAGAACCACTGATAAAAGCAACAGGCCAATAAAGAGGATGATTTTCAGGCTGGCAAACCAGAATTCGGTCTCCGCATACACGGCCACCGGGGAAAAGTTGAGTCCAACGATGACAATCAACAAGAGCGTGAGCCACACAGCGTTAGGAACGTTATTCGGCCAGTAGTTTATAATAATTGATCCGACCGTGATTTCGTATGCGAGGATGATTCCGAAGGAGTAGAAGTAGAGCCAGCCGAGAGCAAATCCGAGAGATCTTGAGGCGTAACGGTTGCAGTAGTAGGACATGGAGCTGCCGGTAACAGGGAGGTATGTTCCAACTTCCATGACCGCCGTGACAACTCCATACACCAGGATAGATGTCAAAGCATACGCCAGGAAGAGGAACAAGGGGCCTCCTGCCGCAAGGACTTGGCCAGAACCGACAAAAAGACCAGTTCCGATACTGCCACCGATGGCAATCATCTGAGCATGTCGCGACTTGACATTTCTCTTCGTGCCTCCCTGGCCGACAAACTGTGATTCTCCCTGTGTATGGCTTTCGAGTCGGCCGAAGTCTTGAACTTTCTCATCGTTGGCATTGTCGTCAGAAGAGATGGCCTCCTTCGAGAAGGGGGACTTGTCGTGATCCAAAGCCATGTTGGTAATGTGGTAGTTGTGATATCAAAGATGCATTCGAGGCAATATTGGACGAATAATCATGTACAAAAATGAGATGATGTCTGATTATTCGGTGAACAGGCCACTTGGTTGCGAGGCATTCTCTCTTTAAACTTGCCACGGGCCATGCCAGCTTCAACCCAGCTGGAGGGCAACGACTGAGTCCTTGTCAAATGCCAAGATATCGCTCCCTACTTTTCAACGTACCCCTTAGCGTCATGTCAGAGTTGCCTTGAACGCGCCTGTCGACAAGATAAGTCCGACGAGCCCTGTTTGCAACCAGCCAGGGGCCGGGTAAGATAGGAAAGCTTCCCCAGTATCAGCGCGCGGACATGTACCCCAGATTAATTATGGGGCTTGGTGTGGCATCCCCCGCTCTTATCTCTCTCCGCTCAAGCGGATACGCTAACGTTGCATTATCTCTTCGCGTCGACTCTCCACCCTCCTCCCGTCCGATGACATGTCCTTGTTCGGCGTCAACGAACGCGACGACTCAGCCGCTTGACATAACTTTCCATATCTATGTTGTGTTGATAACCTTGAGTTGTTGAGCCCCTGGCCTCCTTTGGTTCCCTTTCTGCACTCGGGAGCAAGTGAAACCTGTGGAAAAACTGCTCATTTCGGATGATGGCCGCCACCTCTAGAAACCCCCGTGCCTCGCGGCTTATCGACACAGAAGCCCGCCGCAGCCGGTCGTTTGGCGGATGTGGTACGGTACGTCATGCGACCCTGTCTATCAGGTCGCGGGATGCCCAGTTTGCATGATCAACTGGCTGACCAGCTGCAGTGTCGGAACCGGAGGATGAAGTGCGACGAGGGGCGGCCGACGTGTTCTATGTGCGAGGCCTCGGGTCTGACATGTAGTGGTTATGAGAAAAACATCTTTTTCGACTTTGAAGATATCCCAAGCTCCGGCATGTCGCGTTTTCGGCGTCCGTTACTCACGGAGGAGGAGCGCGAGTCTATGAGCGAGAAACTCACCTCGAGCGTCCCACCGGCGCTGACTCTCTGGCACATTGCGCAGATGGAGGATGAGTGTGAAAGACTACCAGTATCCCAGAACATAGAGATCAGTCGAGGTCCCTTCGGAGTTTTCAGGATACCTCAGTCACCAGCAAAACCTGTCAAAGATTTGCCTATGTCTAGCCCCGAGTCGGACTTCTCAGTTGTTGCTACCGCGGAATCCACCCAAGGGATATTTGAGGACATTCCCGAGGAAGCTGATGAAGAATTCTTGGCACCGCCCGAAGATCCGCCATTGACAAAGATCCCATCACCCTTAGGGCCGGGCTTGGAAAGATTGGGTCAACGACAGCTGAGTCCCATGACAGAGTGGTGGAACATGAATGAATGGTGGAACATGAGCGACCTACCAAGTGTAGGAAACTGGTGGGACACACCGGTAGACTTGGATCGAGTCCGAGACATTACCGACATCACTTTCTCAGGACTTCAACAGTCACCTAGGGCACTGATCACGCCACAAGACACATGTCTCTCCAATGTCTTCCAAGAAACACAGGCCCAGCAACTAGCAACACCAGAAAGCTCCTCCATACCTCCCACCATAGACTGTAACGTGCCTCACGATGCAGTCTTCTTGCTCAAACACTACTCTACCACAGTCCTTAGGGGCTTCACGCCCTTCCGCCACAGCAAAACTCCGTGGCATATTCTGTTCATCCCCTACGTTAAGAGTTGCCTGGCTGCTCTAACCCTCGGTGAGGATATGGACCACGCCAGCCTTACTGCTTTCTACGGCACACTAGCCATCAGCGCATCGAGTCTCGGCGGCATTTCCAACTCTCGAAAGTGGAGCGAGCAAGCCAAGAGTTACAAACAACGAGCACGTCAGCACGTCCGGCTCATGCTCCAGACAGCCTACAATGTGCCCAAGACAGCCAAGTATAAGTCCATCTTGATAGCAATCTTGACAATGGTCCAGATCTCCAGTGTATCTGGGAACCGAGATCAAGCGGAGTGCTACTTGCTCGAGGCAGAGAAGTTTATCCGCGTCAAAGGCCTCAACCGCAAGAAGTCCCGAAAGGTTCGGCTACTCCACCACTGCTACGCCTTTGAGCGTTTGCTACACGAGAGCACATTCCCTGGCAGCATCCAGTCTGAGCACCGCAAACATGTCCGCAAGGCTATTGAAGCGAGCAACGCAAGCTCCTACAGCCTCGACAGCTTGTCGTTCCGATTAACAGAATGGGTCAATCTCGACCAAGAAATGCAGAGAATCAAGGACCAGGACGTCGGCGAGAACGACTTGCACCTGCAGATACCCGGTATATGGACCGCCACGCTGTACCCGGAAATCTTTGGGATACCCGAGATCCACGTCTTTCTACTCTCCCTCGTCATCCGGTTAGGGAGAGCAAAGGACGATGAAATGTTCTCTGATGCAACCGGCCTGAAGGAGTTCATGAGCCGCGCAAAGTCTGTCGAGAAGTGCATCCACCAGCTCAAGCGGAAACCCAGCCACGTGGTGGCAGACGGGTTGATCACGGATCCCGAGCTGCAGCATTGCCAGCAGCTACTTGACAACCTTGCGCAAGCCATGCAACTGGCATTGGCTATTTATTTCTATCGGAAGGTATACGACGTGGAGGCAGACATGCTGCAGGACAAGGTGATAGGCGTTCGTGACTGCTTGCTCCGGTTCGAAGCGACCGAGTCGGAGATGGGGTATGGCTCGGCCAGACTCGTGTGGCCTGCCTTCATTGCCGCGAGTGAGGCGGAGGCTCCGGAGGTGCGGATGTCGTTTAGTCAATGGTTCAAGGATTGGGCGCGTCGGAGCGGTCTTCAGATCTTCAGTGACTCGTTGGCGGACATCGAGAGGCGTTGGGAGGGGAAGCGAGGATCGGAGGCAGCAAAGGTAGATTATGTCTTGACGTAGCGACTTGACAACACTTTCCTCCATGTATGTCTCCCGCATATGCATGAAGAGTCGAGATACGAAGTGCGGGGTGCAGATTTGCCGTCTTGAGCTTTTCCGATAGCTCGAAGAACTCCTCTGTTTGTCCTTCTGTCTGGTTTTGAATTGCATTTGGTTGCCCCGGGAGTAGCTTTCCTATTCTGTTTGAGTCATGTGGAGGCCTGCTACGCCATGTCTGCCACAGGCATGTACACATGGGTGTGCACACGGTCAGTCTGTCGCCCTCGTCTCGGATGCGCGTCATTATAAGACTCTGGGGAGCAGATGTAGGCATGGGGTTTTTCCAAGGGCAGTAGAAGAGTATTCATCTCGCTTTCGGCTTTTCCAAACTTCGTATTAAGATATGGCTTCGTTTCAAGGCAAAGTGGTACGTAGTTGTCCGTCACATCCGCCATCCCATGTCAGTCTACTGACGCCTGCTGGCAGGTCGCTGTAACCGGCGCTGGCTCCGGCATGGGTCTCGCTACGGCTCAGCTCTTAGCTGAGCGTGGCGCCAAGATCTCGCTGGCTGATATTAATGAATCATCTCTCAAAGAAGCAGTTGCCTCTTTACCAGACAGCGACAGCCATATTTATGAGGTTGTCGATGTTAGAGATGGCGAGGCAGTTGACAAATGGATTCAAAATACCGTCAAGAAGTACGGCAAGCTGGACGGCGCCGTCAACATGGCCGGTGTCATCACCCATGCCACCCCTGTAGCAGAGCTTACAGACAAGGACTGGGATTTCGTCTTCGCTGTGAACGCTAAGGGCGTGTTCAACTGCATTCGATCCCAGCTGAAAGCCATGTCCGCCGGCGCAAGCATTGTAAGTCACACAGCCTGGAGGCGCTGAAATCCCAGGCTCAAGCGCTAACTGCCCCGGCTTCAGGTGTCAGCGGCAAGCACGTTTGGACAGTTTGGCGCGCCTGGCAATGCCGCCTACTGCGCAAGCAAAGCGGCCGTTATCAACCTGTCGAGGACAGCGGCCAAAGAGAACCAAAACATTCGTGTAAACTGCGTTTCACCAGGTAAGTACTGGCAGCATGTCCAACGCATCAAGTAGGAGGCAGCTAACAAGGGCAAAGGATCCGTCAACACACCGCTATCAAGAGGCGAGAACCCAGAGGATGTCAAGCGTGGGCTGCAAGTCACTGCACAGAAGCGCAGGGCAGAGCCGATTGAGATTGCTCGTGTTATTGCGTTCCTACTTAGCGATGAGGCTTCTTTTGTTACTGGTGCCGTTTACAATGTCGACGGCGGTTGGGTCTGTTAAATCAGCAGGATAGACTGAATGAAATACCTTCGGCCCCTCCCAGACTACATAATCTCATCACTTCATGTTCTTTGCCATGAAGTAGCCGCCTGAAGCGACCGTCGAGACCCTGGCGGGTCGCGAGCTGGCAAGCCAGGGAGTTATCGCTAAGATGTGGAGGAACAAGGCACTTACAGCCAACCAGCACTGCCGAACATGATCCTTCAGAGCCCATCTTGCAGCTCTATCCGCATGCTCCAAACTCCGATGTCGATGCATCGTAAATCGCTCCTGCGGGGTCAGCGCCGAAATGCCTGGAGCAAGTCAGAAAATTGTGTAAGCATCATATCATTTAATCTTGAAAGCCACCAATGACAAGTGATTCAGTTATACGCATTACTTCCAGGTCGCGGATTGGGACGCCGCAGGATGGCAGGCGATCTGGCGTCAACTCGTTGATGATGCCAGGCTCATCATGGAGGCCTGCGATGTCATCCTCACGGGACCAACTCGCATGTCCGGCACCATAACTCCCCCTGTTGCCTCTGCTGAAGACGGCATCGTTTTCAATGGAGTTGGTGATTACGGACATGATGCTTTCGTCCTGAGCAAGCAGAATAGTGCTGGCTCCGTGGGAACGGCACGGAAGCCCTACGATTCGGTTGTCTGCTGCGTGCTACTGCGAGCGTATCGTCTTTCGCCCAGGAATATTAAAATCGAGTATGTTCCTGCCAAGTCTCTTCTCCCTATGAGACGCACGCTGACAATGTTAGCCCCGACGGTCGATGGGACGATGAGTTATGGAAACACGTTCGGGAACTGTACCAGACTCTGTGGCAGGGCGACCACGTCGATTGTCCGCCGTGGTGGAATGCTAGCAGGCGGGCGCCTAACCTCGGAAGGACTCAGACGAGCTGGCATCTTGACTCTGTTCCGAAGCAGTATAAACCCATGTCAACAAGCACAGAGCGCCGGAGAAGACCATCGAGACCATCCACAATGATGGGTGCCAACTCGGATTTCATCAAGAGATGGCTACATGCCTGCGAAGATAATCCCGATCATGAGAGTTGCTACGAGGGTCATTTGGAATGGCAAGACTTCTCCGGGGTCCAATTCCGAGTCATTGACGTTTATAAACGATGCATCGTTGGTCTTCCTAAAGGGTGTACATTCGCTGCCCTGTCCTATGTATGGGGCGGCATCGAGCAGCCCAAGTTGACCACCGCCAATATCCAAAGTCTTTCCCAGGAAGGCGGACTTGGAAATATTTGGGATCAAATCCCTGCCACGATCATGGATGCCATGTTTCTATGCGAGAAGATCGGGGAGAGATATCTGTGGGTCGACGCGCTTTGCATATTGCAGGACTCTACTCGGGATACAAGACTCCAGATTCTGCGGATGCGTCGCGTTTATTCAGCAGCAAGGTTCACAATCGCTGCCGTATCAGCCCCCGATGCTGATGAAGGGCTTCTTCCGAATCCTGTTTCCGGAGCACCAGCGACAATCTGCCATTCCGTCGACGAGCTAGACTCGCTGTTGGAATCATCTCCTTGGGGGAGCCGCGGGTGGTGTTACCAAGAGCGAGCCTTATCACACCGAGCAGTCCTCTTCACAACCAGCGGCATCCTCATGCAGTGTCAGAAGGCTGTCGTGAGTACTGACGGCATATGTCTGCAGATGGGGGATACCAAAACCGCGTCCAGCAGTTCGCGGACTGTCGGCGGGCTTCTCACCATTTCCCAAGGAGAGGGGCTGGAGTACTTCGTGTCCGCCGTGGAACATTATTCAAAGTGCAGCTTCACAGACAACTCGGACAAGATTTCAGCATTCCAGGCAGTCTTTCAACGGTACGAAGGGATGATGGATGGACAACAGTCCGTGTTCCACTACGGCCTCCCGACTTGTGCGTTCGATCAAGCGTTCTGCTGGCGCACCGAGCTCCATCATCCAGAACTGCGAAATCCTCACTTTCCCAGCTGGTCCTGGCTCGGATGGGATTGCGGCGTCACCTTCGACAGGGACTTGCTGAAGACGGCTCGTACAAACCAGATGGCTGGAGGAGGCTATGATGGGGGCATACCTCGCCTCAAAGCAGCGCATTCGGGCCACCGAGCGCGGAAGCCGTGCCAGCTGGCTGAGTTCGGGTTTCCCACCAGCTTCTCGTCTTCGTTCTATAACATTCCCTTCCTCAGCTTATTGGCGAGCACGACTGACCTGTTCATCGCATTCACGCCTGGGAGACAGATGGAGTCGAATGGACTCTACGCCGTGTTTCCGACGCACTGCAGCCATATGATAGTCCCCTCAGTGTCGGCTCGCCTGCTATCCAACTCAAACCAGACGGAAGTCCGCCACGATGCCGCAGAGCATGACGCCCACGGCGACTGCGAGGCAAAACGCCCGTTGGGATACATGTGGCTGGACCGAGCATGGCGCGAGAGCCAGCCCGAGGAGTATTTCATGGAGTTCATGGCTTTGAGTGGGCACCCAGAGCCAGAGCACCAAAGCCAGTGGCTCATTACCAAGCTCATGTGTCTTCTTGGAAGAGACGGGCTAGGGAGATATGGAAGGTACGAACGGTTGCAAGTCATGGACTGCTCCATTTCAGAAGCAAGTTGGGTCAAAATGGGAGGCATGACCAACTTTATCACAATGCATTGATCAAGCCATTGTGAGCTTAGGAGAGATACCAGAGGCATTATTACACGGCAGGCCTTGCTCGACATGCCTTTAGGGTGGATGTCGCGTTCATGACGGCATCTGCTCAGGATCTCGGCTCGTAACGGAAGAGAATGAAGAAGACAGGAAACGGAAGCCTGTTCGAACGGGGCCAGACTCCCACTGAGCACAATCCAGGCCAGGCCAGATGGCCACCGTCCAAAAGACAAGAGGGAAGATCAATTCATCAATACATTGTTGTACCAGAACATCTCGACAAAGAACCGCAGCACAACGGTACAAAGACACACACACGTCCCATCAAACAAAGCCATCTGGCAGCATACAAGGGTCTAATTAGATCAGAAGCGCTCCAATCACCCTCCGCCGAACCCCAGCCCTACCTAAACCATTTCAACCGCCTCCCTATCCCGCAGCCGATCCCGGTCCCGCGCGGCATGCCTCCGTGCCGGACCCCGGATACAACCCCACGCCTCCCGCGCCTCCCACGCCACCCGAGATCTACAATCCCCAACCGTCTCCCCTAGATCCCGGAGACGCAGAGCGTGTCCCGCAATCAGTCCCGGAGAGGGATAACTCCAACCAACGGCGAATGTCCGAAGGGATTCAATCGTGACGACCCGACGTGCATGGGGCGTCGGAGTCGGCGGAGGTGACCTGGCATTTCCATCAAGAAAGCCCGCCGAGATATACCTGTTTTCATGGCCGTTGCGGCAGGTCAATGACTAGCACCCGAAAACGAGACGACCCGGGCCGGGGTGGCGGATATCACGGCGATATGGGGCTGTCAGCTTGTCGGCGGGCAAAGGCCGATATCCCCGTGTTGGAAAAGGCATAGATCACGAATCGGCACTGGGACGAGAACAGAGGAGATCACCAGCGAGGAGCACCCAGAGATGTTTGTGATGTGTTCAAAGTGTATTACTAATGTCTCATTCCTCATGAACAGAGAATGCCACCCTCCCAACGCCGTCGCAATGACTTGAATAAAAAACCTATGATACAAGAAACAGACTCCAAAGGAGAGTCATGATGCATGCAAGTGCAGATGCAGTTGACGATGCGTGATCCACGTTACAATCCTGAAAACTTTTGCATTCCCAAGGATTGGGGGGGGGGGGTATCCATGCGAGAAAACAGAAGTGATGTGCTCGTTTTGGTGCTCCAAGCTGGTAGAGAGAGCTTAGGCGGTGGCGGGCTCGTTCTTCTCGGCGTCGCTGGCGGAAGCGGACTCGTGGGCGCCGTGGCGCTTCTCGTGGGGAACCCACTTGGCGGAAGTGATGGGGTTGACCTTCTGGACGTACATGGTGTCGATCTCCTCGAGGGTGCGGTCCTTGGACTCGATGACGAAGAAGAACACGATGATGGCGAGGGCACCGCAGCAGCCGGCAAAGACAAGACCGTAGAGGTAGTCGATGGCGTCGGTGATGTAACGGGTGAAGAAGGACATGAGGAAGTTCCAGAGCCAGTTGGAGGCAGTGGCCAGGGCCATGGCAGGGGCACGGTAGCGGGCAGGGTAGAGCTCAGCGACGACGGCCCAGACGAGGGGACCCCAGGTGGTGGCGAAACCGGCGATGAACAGGCAGGAGAATGCAACGAGAACGGCGCCGGCGGTGGGGGTGTTGGACGGGTCGTTGTGGTCGAGGGCGAAGTGGCCGACAAAGGCGTAGACGAAGAAGCAGGCCATCATCCAGAGGGCACCGACAATCAGAGCCATGCGGCGACCGGCATTCTTGACGATCCACAGACCACCGAAGGTGCAAGCAACGTTAACGGAGCCGAGAATAAGCTGCGTGACGAAGGAGTCGCTGAGACCGGTGGCGGAGAAGACGGTGGTTCCGAAGTAAAAGAAGAAGTTGGCACCGGTCAGCTGCTGGCCGGCCTGGAGGACGACGCCGAGAACGGTACGGTAGAGCATGCGGGGACCGGTGAAGATCTCGAAGATGGAGTCGACGCCCTCGCTCTCCTCCTCGACCTTGGCGCGAATCTCGTCGATCTGGGCGTTGACGGAGGGGGAGTTGGGCTCGACACCGGCAAGCTTGGCGATGGTGTTGCGGGCTTCCTCCTCACGGCCCTTGCGGAAGGCGTAACGGGGAGACTCGGGGAGCATGAGGATACCGGCACCGAGGATCAGGGCCCAGGCGAAGCCGAGACCGTTGGGGATGCGCCAGGAAGCACTGCCGACCTTCTTGTTGGTGCCCCAGTTGACCATCTCGGCGGTCCAGATACCGAGGGTAATGAAGAGCTGGTAGGTAGAGACGATGACACCACGGATGATGGCGGGGGTGGACTCGGACTGGTACATGGGGACGACGACGGAGAGAGCACCGATACCGACACCGTTGACAAGGCGACCGATGGCGAACTGGTACCAGGCCTTCTCGGAGGAGACCTCGATGACAATACCGACGCAAGACCAGAAGGCAAAGGCGGAGATGGTAAGGCGACGGCCAAGAGTGTCGGCGAGCTTGCCGGCGATGAGGGCACCGACCAGACAACCGATGCAGAGGAGACCGACGATGGTACCCTGGCGGGCAGCGGAGAAGACGATAGAGCCATCGGACTGGAGCTCACCGAAGCGCTCCATGTAGTCTTCCATCAGGAAGAAGCCGGAGATCTGACCACTGGAGGAGAGAGTCTGTCAGCGGGGAGTAGCAGCAAACGGATTAAGGTGAGTCGGGTCTCAGAAGACTCGGAAAAGTCTCGGGCTGAGGCCGACGGCAGGGGAAAAGCAAGACATACCTGACATATCCGAACATGAAACCTCCAATGGAGGCGACGAGGCCGAGGAAGGCAGCGGCGAAGGTGACCTTCTGCTCGGCCGTGATGTCGGCGGAGGCGGCATCGGGAGACTGGACGTCGCCGGCACGGTCCTTGTGCTCGACGTCTTTACCACCGAACTTGGGGAAATGCATATTGTAAAGCCCTGGGGCGATGGTGGTATTGCTGTGTGATGATGTTGTGTATGGTTCGGGGTGTTGATATTGGTTGTTGATGATGGTTGGAAGATGGATGGGTTTTTCACGATCCGGCTGTTATTGTTGTGTTGTTGATGTTTGTTGTTGTTGTGGATGGGAGGTGGGAAGGGGGAGAGGTAAAGGGGGAGGAAGGTGAGGTGAGATAAAACTCTGATTAGATGTGATGAGTATGGGAAGGAAGGAGCAGGACAGTAAAGGGAAGGAGCGAAAATGTGTATTTGTATTCGAGGAAGGAAGGAAGGGGCACACTGGAGTCTGGAGTGTACATTACACGATGCGTGGTCTCTCCCGGAAGGACCAGTCTCCCCATTCACCTCACCCCAAGGTTGCAATTAGTGTGTAAGGAGAAACCAAGACCAAGGACTGGGTTGAGCTGCCAAACTGGAGATTCACTGGGGCAGCAGAGGCCGTCTTCTGGACGTGTGACCAGCTTCTCGAAAAAACTCACCCCGTCTTCCCCCGTAGGCCCCCGTTCGCCTCCGCGCATGTTCCCACACCCGCGCCGGTGGAAAGGTGCTTTTCATGCCTCATGATCACCTTCTCTTCTCCGTTTTCTGACCAAGCAAAGAAGGCCCCCACTGCCAAACGCACAAGTGAAAGTCGGGGGCCCGTGGGCGAGCAAACCAAGCGTGCGGGCCAAACCTGGGCAATGCAGCAACGTACGTCTGTGGACTGTGGGAGGAGGGGATATGGGGAGGCAATGAGGCGGTTCTGGCCAGACCGTGGGAATACCGTGACACTGTCTTGATCACGATGCCCACAGTGAAGGGAGGGAGAGGTGCCTTCGGAGATGGCAACGAGATGAAGACGGAGAAAGGGTACAGAGTACCGGTACGGACACCAGGTACCTCCGTCCATCCCATCGGTCGTTGGATCTGACCAGTCTCTGATCGGTCGAATGCTCGGCCACTAAGAGGGGACAGCCGCTCTGGGAGTGCCTCGAGTTGAGGCTCCGGGAGAGGTCAATAATTCTGATGGCCAAGACCCAGTCACCACCACCCAGCAGGACCCATGATCCCGCCGAGAGGGGACCGTGGCTGGCAGCACTGCGGTAGGTGTTGCTCGGGATGCCCTGCAGCGTCCAGGGTCTGGGCTGGAATTCGCCGAAGAGAGACTCGGTTGGGAACCACAATTGGCTCCAACATGGACATAATCGGACCCTTTCAGCTTGGCGAATTGGCGACGGAGGTCGCGTCTTCGCAATCTGGCCTAGCGGACGAGCCCTGCTTGGCTTGAGATGATCCGCCGTGGCCCGCGGCTGGGTGGAGATCCCGAAGCCTCCGATTGACGTCAGGCACATCTACACTATCTCTCTGTCGACTGTCAAAGCTCTCTCTCTCTCTTCAGGGTTACATGGAGGGACGGGAGACGGCCGGACAGGTGCACACAGCTAAGCTACCTACCCTGTGCCTGAGTAAGGTAGTGTGTGTGTGTGTGTGTGGCCAGCGACATGGCAGCATGGCATCAGCGTGGCAGGTAACCGACGACCGTTGTTCCTGACATTGACGCAACCGCCAAACAAAAACCAGCTTTTGGAGGGCGGCAAACAGACAGATCACTGATGGGAAAGAGTCAGGTACCTGGTCTCTGGGCTGTTCGGACCAGCCGTTGTTTCTTGGACCAAGGTGAGGGAAAGAGCATGAGATCGCCCGGCGACATCAGACGAGGTGATCGGCCAAGACCAAACAGAAAACTCTGGAAGGAATTTTTACTTTGACAGAAGCAGGTGTGCAAAGAGAGAGAGGGAAAAAAAAAAATAACACGAGCGGAAAGGAACCGACAGGAAAACAGGGTCATGGTGGTCTCGCAACTCTGCAAGTACCGTGCCGCTTCCGCTTCGTAGATCCACCGCACGGGCGCCATCTGCCAGATGGCATGCTCCTCTGAATGTACCTCTACTGAGTATGCCCACTACGTACCTAAATAATGTACTGATAGTGATGCTTCATGAACAACACACGTTGGAAAATAACATTTGCAGATTCCCATTCAATTTTTTCGGCATGAATACATGACAGAGTTTCTCTTCAGTGGCATCTCAAGATTGTTATCAATCGTCGAATCGTCAAAATCGATAAAGGCTGACCTGAGAGAGACAGCGCCATCACATCGTGACATTTCGCGGCTGCATCCATGGCCAGCCCACGCAAGGTCCGAATATAGAGTACCCCCTGTCCCTGAACCCCTCCCCTGTCCCGAGCATCTTTCCATTGCTTTCCCACTTCTTTTTGCGCCGCGCTCTGCAGACTGCAGCAGCGCGGCGTGAGGCTTGACTTTTATTGAGGCTGTTGGCAATCTTCGTGCGACCTCTGATGGAAGCTTTTCTACATATTATAAACAACATCACGATGCTGCGTCTATCGAAGCATAAACAGAATATTCCATAGCGTGGCGTAAACCTCCAGAAATTGGATATGGCTGGGCTCAAAAGGTAGAAGAAGATGACTTCTGACTGCTGGCGATGGACATTGGCTTTTGCATTGGCTCTTGGTCCCCATTGTCTTGTTATCTCACCCCCTGCTTGCTTGATCCCTGGCCAGTGGCCGTCGTCCGTCCGGCAATCAGATGCCGCCCGCAGACGGCGCGCCCTGAGCTGTGGCTTCATGTTTTAGCTCCCGATCTGCGATTCCGCCGCCGCAGTGGCCGTACTCTGTACTCTACCCTGAAGCCTTCATCACCTGGCCTGATGAACAGCTACAGCAGCAGCGGCGGCGGCGGCGGCCATTCGTATCCTACCGTTAGACCTCATTCGACTGCATTGGACATTGGGCCCAAGAAGATGAGGCTCACTCGACCGCTCCTCGCATTACATAGTACAGAGTTAAATCCATACAAAGAATAACACCGAAAAGAACCCCCCACTCCCAAACCGGGCCCGCGGCAGCCTCACCGGCACACCCTGCCACCCTCTCCCCCCCTTGAGGCTCAACGCAATAGGCACTCCCTACTTCCCAGACCTCGAGTCCAGAAAAAGACCGAGACTCGGCCAGCCAGACCCGTCAAAAACTGGTGAAGCGCGCCTCGTGCTGGGAGATGCAGCGAGAGAGAATGCGCTGGACGCGACGATACGGCCTGAGCTTGATGAGGTGTGGGCACGCCAGAGGAGTACGGAGAGGAGCAAGACGGCCGCCGCGTGAAAAAGGGCCGAAGACTGCGCGAGAGGGCAGCTCCCTACCTACTCCAGTGTTTGAGCGACGGTGCGCGCAGTCGTGGTGTGCACGCGAGACTGTTGAATTTTTTCTCGAGTTTTTTTGGTTTTGGTGGTAATAGTATTGGATGAGAAGTGGGAATAGAGGGGGGTTGAATCCACGATGTGTGCGAGATGAGGCCGAGGTGAGGCTCATGCTCATGCTCATGTTTGTGTCTCCCTGCAGCAACATCAGCATCATCATCATCATCCTTATCTGTGAACATTCAAGCCATCTCCTTCACAAGACATAAGCTCAAACAATGAAAGAAAATCTCGCGGTGCGCTTTCCCGAGGCCGTTTCTTCCACCACCTCGTCCTGAGCTCGACCGAGATGGACTCAATGTCACTGACCAGCAGAGAGTCACCAACACAGCAACAGCCAGCATGGCAAACTGGCAGAATCCCATCGCGCAAATTCTCGCCCCTCTTCGGCTCGACTTCTCAAACGTGCGCCCTGAGAGTGGACCCCGTAAGGTCCTGCGTGCTGCTCAAGGAGTCAAGTCTGCTGGCCGCGCCGGTGAGAGTGGACGCTGGCAAGAAAGAGCCCGAAATGCGGCCACGCCGCCAGGTGGCCCCCGCCCCGCTGTTATTCCCGCCGCGCTCCACCGTGGTCTGATCGGATGTTTTCCGTTGCTTTTGCTCAGTTCCAGTGTTCAGGCTTGTGTTTCTTGGTTTTGTCTTTTGCTGGCTGGCTGGCTGGCTGGCTGGCTGGCTGGCGAACTGGCCCGGCCATCTGTCTCTGGCTGCCAGATTGTCAGATACCAGATACCGACATGTTCCTTGCATGGCACCACCCACAATCACAACCGCCGTGTCTCTGCATATCACAAAATACCAGAGACAAAACATCACCCGCATCGTCCTAGAAAAGGACCCCAGACCCCCCAAATTCCGCCGCGGAATCGAATGACGCCACGGCCACGCCTTCCACCGGCCAGCCCCGGGGTCCCTCCCGTCACGAGAATCTTCGGCGCCGAGGGGTTGATGGTCCGACATTGTCGTCGTCGTCGTTCGCGCGTATCGTCCGGCATCCCGGGTCTACGCCGAAGAACCAGGAAACAACTTTCATCCATCCCGTGATCTCACGTCTCACCAGATGCGATGCGGCGCAGGCCGGCGTGGCGTGCGTGCGGGTGAACGCACTCAGATTTTCCCAAAACCCAGACCGTCGGGTTGCGATTTGTAACACCCCATCGCGGCTTCGCGCCTAACAGACGCCGTACAGTGCAATTCCGCCCTCCAGCTCCATAACAGCATGCATTCCTCATCTGCCGTCATCTCTACCGCACAAAGCCCCGATTTTTGACAACACAGACGAGGCCTGAAGCTCCGGAAACAGCCCGCCTCACGATAACGGGGAATCCATACACCCAACTTCCAAGACCATCGGTGTTACAGCCCTACGGCGGCGAATGGCGCGGAACGGGAGCGTGCGATGGGGCGGCGGGCGGGCGTTTGTCACGTCAGGTCGGAGATAACAAAATTCTTCAAAAGCCGCATAGAAGAACTATGACGACACTGGCACTGAAGAGTTTTTTCAACATATGGTTCGTTATCGCGTTGTGGTTCAACCCGGGCGCGCGACTGGCCACTCAACGGCCCCGTCATCGACGACGAACGAGTCATGGCCGGTGACGTAAAACCTCACGACTCGACACCCCCAAATGCAGGGAACAAACTCGCGCAGGCAAGTTATCAACATAACGATGTTTTACCGTACTACGGATACGGACCTGACGACTAACGA